GAAACTGACTGAGAGAGGTACAAAGAATCATAGATAATCAATTTTTGTATATTTGAACTAATAAGATTAATGAAGAATCGATTCTCCCTTCTTTTAAAGATATGAGAATTAATTCTTACTTTTTTACTTCTGGAGAATCGATTTTTCCTAGTACGAGAATCAAATTCCTTTCACCGTGGATACATGTGTATGAGTGGTGATGTTGTCACGTGTGGGTGATGGTGTTGTTATTGTGTTGTCGTGTTGTTACATGCAGAAGAGATACCATATGAGAATCGATTATCAACTTTAAGATAATTAATTCTCTTACTCTATCCATAAGACATTCTCAATATAATTAATTTTTTTTTCAATGTTTTCAATTTATTTATTAACATTAACTTACATGTTTGAGTAGGCATGACAACGGCGCGTGACGGGGCGGGTTTTGTCTCCCGATCCCCGCTTCCGACTTTTTTAACCATCCTCGTCGCCACCTCCGATCCTCACGGGTTAGAAATTAAGTCCCCATCCCCGCTGGATTTCGGGTTCCCCGCCTCGTCCCCATCTATATTATTTTTAAAAATATAATAAATTAAATTTACTATCTATTTTTTATATATAACTAAATATTTATAATTTATAATTATTATTAATTAAATATACATTTTAATTTACTATATTTATATTAAAATATATATGTAAAAGAAATATTTATTCATTGTTTATTTATATTATTATAACACTCGTATTGAAATATTTGGATACTTATAATATTATTATTATAATACTGTATTCAAACATTTGATTATATATATATAAGTTAATTCATTTTTTAGTTGTCATTTAAAAATATGAAATATATAGTTTATAAGGAAATATTTAATAAGTTAATTTTTATTCAATTAGTTCAGAGTAATAAAAGTTTAAATTATCAATTCCTTTAATATTTTAAAATACAAATATTTTATTAAGATAAAATTTGATATATGATAAATAAGAATAATAAGATAAAAAAACATGACATAATAAAACCTAATAAATATAAATTATAAATAAAATAATATTAGTTACTACTAAGATTTATGTAAAATATTTAGAAAAAGATAAAGAATAAAAAAAAATTTGTGTTCATCAAATTGGTTGAAAAGATCGAAAAAAAAATTGATGGGAGAGATTAAGGAAATGCTGAAAGGTAAGAGAGAATAATGTAATAAATTAATTGATATAAAAGATTTAAAAAGACAAAAAAATTAAAAAGTGGGTAGAAGAAAAATAAAAATTAGTGAAATATAAAAAAATGACCTTATATGTAATAGAAAAAGAAAAAGAAATACTTTTAAAATATTAATATTTTAAAATTTAAATTTAAATATAAAATCCGGACAGGGGCGGGACGGGTCGGGCCGGAGTGGGAATTGCATTACCCATCCTCGCCTCCGCCCCTACTTTTTAAAGCGGAGAAAACCCGAACCTCGCCCCGATCAACTCGAGTTTTCCCCATCAAATTCGGGATCGGGGATAAGTCGGCTCTCACGAGTACGAGTTTAATTGTCATCTCTATTTGAGAATGGATTTTCACGACAAGATAATCAATTTTTCTTGGGCAAGAATAAATTTTTAGATAATTATTAATATTAAATTATAAATAATATTTAATTATTAGTGTTAAATAATAATTTGAGTTTGTTATACATGTATTTTGTATTAATAATATTATTAATATATTAATATTAATAATTTTTATTTATTATTCTACTAATGATAAATTGATAATTTTATAATTATCAATTTTTAAAACATTTTATAATATATAAATATTTTATATGATTTTATAAGTTAATTGTAAAATATAATATAATTATAAATTTTAGTGAAAATAATATATAAATTAAATAATGTTAAAAGAATATATTTCAATAATCTCGATGTTAATACTAATAATATTGTAAATATTAATTTTAATTTTCAAAAATATTAATATAATAATAATAATAATAATAATAATAATATTGGTGTATTAATACTTTAAACAAAATAATAAAAAAATAGATAAAATAATAATACATAAATAAATAAAAATAAAATTTAATTATTTTTATAATATGTTTAATTTTATATTTTTTCATTTTTTTACTTTATATAATTATTTTTATATGAAATCTACTATAATAATTATTTTAAAAATTATAATAATATGATTTTAATTATTAGTTTACAGTAATTTTAATGTGAAGCAATTTAAAAAAAAAATAAGGTGGGTAATTTTTTTTTTAACTTTTCTATTTTAAATAATAACTCACATTTCATTTTTAACATAATTTACTTTAATTATATTTTATTTTAAATTATATTTTAAAGATAATTGAAATACTTTTTAAATCTATCAAATCCTTCACTCACAAACTTTCATAAAAATTTATTTTATTTTTTATTAATTTTCTTTTGATTCAAATAATTTCACTTTTTTCTTTCTTTTTCTTTAAATCCACTAATTTTCACTATCCAAACACAAGTTTAGTGGTTTGTATAAAAAAAAACTTATTATAATGGATATCACCTACTTTAAAGAAAAAGTACTAGAAAAAAAACATTGCTGTTTTTAAGATAATTATTATTCACTTTGAATTATTATTATTATATATATATATATATATATATAATATTTTCAATTTATTATATAAAATAATTAATTTTTTGAATAATCTATACAGATTGATATAATAAAAAATTACAAAATATTTATATGTTTGTATTGAGAAGTTCATTTTTAATTTATATAAAATAAAATAAATTTAATTTATTAAATAATAAATTATTAATAAATTTAATTTACAATATTTTATTAAAATTACATAAAAAATTATTATCAGATTTATTTTATTATTCAAAATTTTCAGTGAATCCAATCAATCTTATTTACTATTATTTTTTATTTTATTCTAAATAATTTAGTATTTTATTTTCCTTTTTATATTTTATTATTCTTTTCAATTCATCTCTTAGTTTAAACATAATCTTAGTTTCTTTCGTTTGACTAATGTAAAAAATAATATAAATATTTTTGTATTAAGTGAAAAAAAATGTAATTTTTTATTATAATATATATATATATATATTACTTTTTATTATATATAAGAAAAATGAATAAAAAATAAAAGAAAAATATTATTTTCACTAAAATAAATAGTTTTTTATATTTATAATTATTATTTATATATATAATTATTATTTTAATAAAACACCACAAATATCAAAATGATTATAACCAAATAAATAACTTAATATATATATATATATATATATATTATATTTTAATACAATATTATTTTATTAATTTAAACATAAATAATTTAAGAACAAAATATGATTTTATAATGAAAATATTTTACAATTATATCTCAAAACATATATTATTAAAAATTTGATATATTAATTGAAAAAAGTTATTTTATTAATAAGTATACACCTACTTTTATAATTAAATAAACTTTTATTTTAATTTAATTATTTAATATTTTAATAAAATATTTATTTTCATTTTCACGTTATTTTTCTTTCAAAATAAATATTTTGTATTCTATTTTATTTTTTTATTATTTTATTTTATTTCCTTACATCTTTTCCTTAGGTATTTGTATTGTTAATTTTATTATTATTATTAATATTTCAGTATTTTTGGTTACATATAATTTTAATGTGGTAAATTAAAATCTTTTATTTGTCTTGTTAAGTTTAAGCACCTCAAATTGTTTATGATTAGAGTATAATGTTTCATTATTAAATAAAAGAAACCACTTTTTGCAAATGTGATATTTACTTTTTATCTTCACAATTTTTTATATATAATTTAATAAATAAATTAATTCTTATTTTTAATTATTAATTTTTTTAAAAATAATAATAAAAAAAGAATAACTACGTAGCTCTTATCCTAAAATGCGCTCTTATTAGGAAAATATAAAACTCATTTTAAATCAACTAGAAGAAAAAATAACATAATAACCAATAATCTCTTTAAAAACAAAAATTAATATAGTGATATAAATATATTTAAAACATAAAACATTTGATATTCCAATTTTACATACCTTTGTTTTAGTTTATCTAAATTCTGGAGTGTATGATTATTAGTTATTCAAGAATGCCATTTTATCAAAAATTTTTTTATACCATGAGAGAGTTCATAAAAAATTAAAGTTAATGAGATTTAATTAAGTATTTGGATACATTTTAATTTTTATATTTAAAAAATATTTATTTTAGTTCTTCTATATATTAATTTTAATTTTTATTCTTCATAAATTTAAATAGCAAAGACTAAAAATATTAAAAATACAAGTATAAAATTGAAATAAATTATAATAGTATGAATAATAATCAAAATATTAAATATACAATTAATAAACTGAATATAAATATAAGGACTAAATATGTAATTAAATTATTAATAATTTCTTTACCAATAGCATTGTACGAATTTGAATAAAAAATAATTTAATCATGATATATTTTTTATATTTTTATAAATTAAAATATTTATTTGTCATGGGACTAAAGTATATAAAAATAAGCACGAGTATACCAATTAAACGCTAATTACCAATAAATATTTTAAAAAATGTATTTGTCATAAATATAACTTTTTTAATTCGAATTGATAAAAAACAAATGAGTAGGCGAGGGCAAGGTTATATAAAAAAAATGTGATCAGGGAGTGGTATTTTTGAAATTCGGTAACGAGAGAGGATTAAAATTGTCCATTGGAGGAAAAATGAGAATAGAGGGATGATCTGTAATTTTGTTGTTGGGTGAGTGTGTCGATCGGATTGGATTGGAGGCGGAGGCAATCAAAGTGCAAATCAAGGGATTAATCAATTCTGTTCTTCGGTTGGTTTTGTGAGTGAAACACAGATTAATTCTTTGCAAGTTGGATGGTGTGATCTACAAAGGCAAAGGCAAAGACAAACTATAAAAGTGTGTAATCAATTGAAATCAGGGCGGTGCTGTTGAATTCTGCAATGGCATCGGCAGCGCCTAATGTCGATCTCTTCGATGCTTATTTCCGACGAGCAGATTTGGATCGAGACGGCCGTATCAGCGGTGCCGAGGCTGTCTCCTTCTTCCAAGGCTCCGGATTGCCCAAGCAGGTCCTTGCACAGGTCTCTCTCTCTTTCTCTCTCTTTCACACACACACTCTTTATATTCTCAATCTCTGCTTCTGATTTAATTTACTCATGATCATATCTGCCACTATGAGCGCCATTAAACATTCTTTGAGTTAATTAGGCACTGCTTCATAATTCTGTTATTCTAAACGCCAAATACATCAGAGATCATACTGTCCTGTCTTGTTATGTACTTGGTCTGCAGATTTGGGCATTTGCAAACCAAAGCCAGAGTGGTTTCCTTGGCCGGGCAGAGTTTTACAATGCCCTCAAACTTGTTACTGTGGCACAAAGTAGGCGCGAACTAACCCCCGAAATGGTAAAAGCAGCATTGTATGGCCCGGCTGCATCTAAGATTCCTGCACCTCAAATTAATTTCAGTGCCACAGTTGCGCCCCCTGCATCTGCACCTACACCTACACCTACACCTACTCCTGTATCTGCACCTGCACCTACACCTGTATCTGTATCTGCACCTGCACCTTCACCTAGACCTGCACCACAGGTTGGCTCTGTTAATCCTTTATCCCATCAAAATCTTGGACCGAGGGGGGCAGTTCCATATCTGAGCAGTAACCAACTAAACCTTCCTTCTCCGGGAAGTCAGTTAGTGAGGCCTCCAGCTTCTAATCTACCACTTGGTGTTGCCAGTCAAGGAATGGCTGTTCGCCCTGAAACCCTCAGCATGTCAGGTTATGGGTCCACTGGGAACATGGGTGGTGCTCCAGAAGTAACTTCCTCTCCTATAGCAGTCAGAGGAAGTAGTTCCCCATCAACGCAGGGAGGGTTTGGGCTTGCAACCTTTGGATCAAATGCGGTACGGGCACCTGGCCAATATCCTGCCTCCAGCATAAGGCCATCAGATCAAATGGTTAAGGATTCTAAACCAGTCAATAGTTCTGTTAATGGTAATGCCTCCGATTCAAATTTTGGAGGAGATTTGTTCTCAGCTAGTTCATTTCAGCCCAAGCAAGTTTCTTCTCCACAAGGATATGCTTCTGGCAGTTCAGTGCTTTCTTCAGCTATTGTTCCTGTGTCTGGAGGAAACCAGCCTTCCATTAGGAGTAGTACCTCTGATTCTTTGCAGGGCTCACTTGTAACCCAGCCTGTTGGTTCCCAGCTTCAGCAAGTCCAGCCTGTGGTAAAGCAGGACCAACGTGTCGCAGTCCAAACACATAGTATGCTGAATTCATCTGGACTTCCTGGGAGATTGCATGATTCTGCTTCCACTCAGCCCCAATCTCCATGGCCAAGGATGGCACCAACTGATGTTCAGAAATATATGAAAGTATTCATGGAAGTAGACACAGATAGAGACGGGAAAATCACTGGGGAGCAAGCACGGAACTTGTTTCTTAGTTGGAGGCTACCAAGAGGTATATTTATTCCTACTTCATTGCCTTTTTCCTTGGACAGTCAGCTTAAAAGACTATCTTTATTTTTCTAGCTCTCTAGCTCCACATGCAATAGGAAATTGACTTAAATATGATAAAATACACATATTGCAGGAAGAGGTTGTGGGGGGAATCTGTTTAGTTTTGACTCCCTACATGTGTGTTACTTGTCAATGGCTAGCTCCTGAACATTATGTGTATGCCATGTTTTATATTTTTTCAGAGGTTTTAAAGCAGGTCTGGGACTTATCCGATCAAGATAATGATAGCATGCTTTCTCTCAGGGAGTTTTGTATTGCATTGTATCTAATGGAGCGACACAGGGAAGGACGTGTTCTTCCAGCAGTACTTCCAAATAACATCATGGTTGATTTACCAACTGCTGTTCAACCTGCTGCTCCCTACAGTGCTGTACCTTGGGGAAATCCATCAGGTGTGTTCCCAGTTATTAGACATTACTGGTATAAACATTCAGATAAATGAAAATTTCTGATTATGTATGTCTTCACTATTTCATCTTTTGAAGGTTTTCAACAAGGGATGACTGGTTCTGGAACTCGACAAGTGAATCCTGCTGCAGGTCGACCGCCAAGGCCAGCTGCTGTCTCTCAGTCTGATGAAGAACCTGAGAACAAGCCAGAGAAATCTAGAATTCCAGTCTTAGAGAAGCACCTCATAACTCAGCTGAGTTCAGATGAGCAAAATTCAATTAATTCAAAGTTTCAAGAAGCAACGGAAGCTGATAAGAAGGTACCTCTCTTTTATTTGTTTATTTATTTTTTGCATCATAATAGACTTCTTCATAATTTTGAAATCATATGGCTTGGAGAAATGAAGAGTAGATCATCCATCTTTATACTCTCTTTTCCTCTTCACTACCATTGCTGCAGATTATTGTTTTTATTTTGATTGAAATGTTTGGATATGTTTACCTGTCCTTTGTATATGTGGCTGTATTTTCTTATATATCTATCAATTGCAGTAGATTATTTATATTGGATTTTTAGTTTCTAAGTGACTCTTTATGGGGAATGTGTCCTCTATGGTAATCTTAAGGTCAATTAATTTGAGAATGATCAGGTGAGATGGCATTGTGAGCTATTTTTGGTTTCAACCTTGAAGTGTGCATGCTGGTTTTGGCTGATGATTGAAACTTATAGATACAAAATTTGTTAGCTGTTACTGGTATATTTGAAGTTAGCATGGGAAGATCATGATATAGATTATTTTTGGGTGAAGCATATCATTATTGCAGTCCATTTATACTTGATAAGATTTTTGTTTTTCTACTGAACACAGTCAATTCTCATCTTTTCATTTGTTTTGTTAAATGCAGGTGGAAGAACTTGAGAAAGAAATTGCGGAGTCCAAAGAGAAAATAGATTTCTACCGTGCAAAAATGCAAGAACTTGTGAGTGCTTTCCTTGCTTTCTTCATTCTTGTCTTATTAAGGCCTGTTTACAGAAAGTGGTTCTGTGATGCATTTTTTTAGCTTTCTTTAGAATTTACTATTTTCTGCTTCCTAGAAAACAACTAGAGCAGTATGTTTAAAAGTTTTTGTTTTTCCAAAATCTTGCATAATCATTATAAATTCTCTTAACATGTCATTTGAATTAAAATACAAGTTTTCTTCAAAAAAAGGCTTAAATCAAAGAACTTTAATTCTGTTTAATGTGAGTTCATTTTTTCTCTGTTTTATTCTGTATTAATATTGGATTTGTCGACATGTATACCATATCTTGATGTGCAGGTTTAGCTATATACCATATAGATGTACTGATGTAGCTAGTAATCGTGAAATGTACTTTGGTTAAAAAGTTGTTCACCTTCACTATTTATTTATTGCACTCCAGGAAGAATGGATCTGGCCAGAACTTTTACTGTGCAAAGCTTCAACTTTAAGGAGGGAAAATATATATAGGTTATTAAGTATATATAAGAAAACAATTCCTATTTCTCTTGCCCTGTTTTTATTGTCAATATGACTGATTTAACAAAACAATAATATTATAGGTCTGCTGAACATAATTGCATAATCACCTATCTAACTCTTGGGTTTCCTCTCCTATTAATTTGAAGGTTGGACTTGGAAAAGTCTTTTGCTTAGTTGTTACACATTTATAGATCTTTTACACCACCTCTTCTTTCAGCTTTTGTCTGCTTCTGCAGATACTTCTGGGAAAAATAAAATTAAAAGGCCTATGAAACAGACATGTTCTGTTGTAATTTTTTTTGTAGAAATTATGGATACTTAGTAAATCATATAAAAGCCATCTTCATGCTGTTATGGTTAATAGTTTCATATACATAGTTAATCATGCTGTTATAGTGGGGATTCATTGTTTACTCTTGTGGATTGGAAGAGGACAACACAAAAGTCTGGTGCTGTATGAGTTTACTGTCGTGGGAGAAATGGCCCCATTTTTCACTAAATCCTGGAGGTATAGCAGCTTAAGGTGTTTCCTGCATGAGCCATTGCTTGACAGCCACAGGGACTGCAACCTCCCTCTTAATGCCACCAGCCACCCACCCACTCCATCTGCGATCTCTGCCAAATGCAACAAAGCTGCCTCTTCATTTTTTAACAGGGGCAGCCTTTATCTAGCTGCCCAAGGAGTTAGGGTTTCACATGATGGGTCCTAGGGATTTAGTTTTTTTTTGGTTATGGTTTGTTGGGCTTGAATTTGAGCCCAGCTTAGTTTCTCTTTATATTTTTTATTTAAAGCATAACATAAAATATAGTTTAATTTAATTTAGTATAATAAATAGTAAAGTAAAAAATATAATAAACTAAATAAATATAGTAAAAATACATAATAAACTATTTAAAGATGACATATAAGATATAAACTAAATAATAATTATACAAAAAAAATAAAAATAAACTATAACATATAATATACTAACTAAATAATAATAGGTAATGACAAAAAACTAAATAAGCCACAACATATAATAAATTAAATGATAATATTAATAAAAAAATTCAAATTAGAGGTCATCCCACTACCCTCCATCTTGCTATAGCGGTTTTTGTAGTTGGTTGCTTCACATTGCTATCTAGGAATGATAACTATGAGTGTCATGTTAATATTTATTTTTCCTTTTAATTTTCAACTTTTTGTACTAATTTCATGTTCTTTGTGCATAATGATGAGGTCTTCCTTAGGATTTGAAGGATCTATAAACTCTTAGAAAGATTTTGACCTCATGAAACTTGTATTACTCTCGGCCAAGTGTGGGAAAAACAAGAACTTAGGTTAAATTGAAAAATCAAGTGGTTAAGGTGAGAAGATGGAAAGAACACACCACTTGGATAAGTGCATTGTTGACTCATCACTTGAAAAAGTTCTCTAATATAAGAATGTAGTTTATGAGGGTTGGAGATACCACATTAACTAGAGATATGTTCAAGTTATAGGATATAAGTAGTACAAATCTCATGTTAGAAGTTAATTTTGTAAGATTGACTTTGAGCCAAATTAACTTTCTAATAAAGAATTCTAGACATTCAATGGGAAGGAAGTTGCTGTTGAGAATTCAAGCGAGTTTGAAGTCTCACATTAGGTAGAAATAGAAAAGTTGAGTAACTTATAAGTGAGAAAGACCCATAACTTAATGCCTTAAAGTTTTGGGTTGAAGGTGATGTCATATTTTCTTATATGGTTGACTCGTATCCCATTGTTGAGAATCTCCCTGTTGTTAGCCCCTCTCAGAAATGCTCAACAGTAGTATCAAAGCCAATAGATCATCTGGTGAGCGGTCCAGTTGAGTACGATTTGATGTAGGTGAAAGGTGTTTGATTATGGATCCTTATGCCGAAATTCTTCCTAACAAGGGTTTCAGGCAAGTGTGTTCTGTTGTGTTAAAATGGTGGTACAAGTAAGGTCTCTACTGTGTCCTCAATACTTCTGCTCGAGGGGGTGGTGTATCAATGTGAAAGAGAATCACACTTAAGGGGGAGATTGTTGAGAATTCAAGTATGAGTTTTAAGTCTCACATTGGGTAAAAATGGGAAAAGTGAGTAACTTATAAGTGAGAAAGACCCATAACCTAGTGCCTAAAGATTTTGGGTTGAACGTAGTGTCATATTCTCTTATATAATTGACTCGTGTCCCACTGATGAGAATCTCCCTGTTGTTAGCTCCTTCTCGGAAATACCTAATAGTTGTAACTTCCTTGTCTCATGTAATAATGAGGTATTTGGTGCATGAACTAGCTTAAACTATTGGTAGTTGGAGTTAGTTTATGACATTTAACCACTTTATTCTAGAATATGCTTTAAGCTTCTAGAAGTTTTGAGATTTTTCCAACATATTTAAAACAAAGTTTATCACTTCTACAAGCAATTTTTATTTCCTAAACTATGTTTTCTAATAATCTTCTTTAAGTTTTGTGAGTTTAGTTTTGGTCATCCTTTCTTTAAAGGATTTCCCCATTTCTTCTTCTATCTTTTGTTGGCCATATTTTTGTTAAGATTCTTTGAGGTGTCTCCTCTTTAGCTAATCCCTCTTTCACCTCCTTTAAATACTTCCTCTCTTTCCATGGTCTCATCAGGGTCATAGAAAGGATATCAACTTTTCATGTTCTTCTTATGGTTAATAGTGTTATGTTAAAATTCATTCTTCTGTTTATTGTCACCTTTTCTGTGGTTAATAGGTCATAGAAAAGAGTAAAACATATAAAAGCAAGCTTTAATGTTATTATGGTTAATAGTGGCATGATAACATTTTTTTTTTCTTTTTATCCTTATTAAACAAATTTCTTCTTCTGTTGCCATAAAAGGTTCTGTACAAAAGCAGATGTGACAATCGGCTTAATGAGGTCATAGAAAGAATATCAGCTGATAAACACGAGGTATCTTTCTTTTAAAATTGTATGTGTTCTTATTACCTCAATAATCATAATATTTATTTTCTCAATATATTAATTTCAGGTTGAGATTCTAGCAAAGAAATATGAAGATAAATGTAAGCAAGTAGGAGATTTGTCATCCAAGTTAACTACTGAAGAAGCCACATTTCGTGACATACAGGTGCAATGAAATGACTTTTTCTTCAATTGATAGCATATATACTAAAAGGTTTATTGTTTTGTTTTGCCTGTTTTTCTGCATTCCTGTCAAATAATTTATTTACGTGCAGGAGAAAAAAATTGAATTGTATCAAGCAATTGTCAAGATGGAACAGGATGGAAAAGGTGATGCAACTCTGCAGGTACATTTTAATATTACCAGGTTTCTGCATCCATAGTGTCAAGTTGTGATCAACTTTCATATCTCATTTAGTCATCTGTTTTTTCCAGGCTCATGTTGGTCATATCCAAACAGACCTTGATGAGTTAGTGAAATCTCTGAATGAGCGGTGCAAGAAGTATGGATTACGATCTAAGCCCACAACATTACTGGAGCTACCATTCGGTAAATTCAAATTTATATTGATTTTGTTCCTTCCGGATATTCTCAATTTTTTTCAAGTCTATTACTTCATTATATGGTATTTAATGCATTTGTTTAGATATCTTATTTGTTTTTTAATTTGGGGAAGTGGCCTTCGGTTGTTGAACTACTGGATTTTGAATCAGCAGTAAATTATTTGTGTCAGTGCAACTTGATACGGTTGCCTGATCAAGTGGCATTTAGTATATTCAGATTTGACCTCTAAAACTGATTTTGTTGTACAGTAATTTATAAAACTCATGTTGCATATCATGTATCTTTTCACATGTGCATTTTTTTTAAATCAGTTTGCAATAAATATATGGTGATGCTTTGCTATTGATGCTTATATAGTTATGTGGTTCTTTGTAATAGATGCCACTCTAGTTGCTATCATATGTTGGGTTAATATTGATTTTATGAAGAGGGAAATTTGAACCCTCTGATGTTTCTGAAAACAGTATGCAAGATGTTGAATATAGTGAAAACTAGGTAAAGGGTTAATTCCCTTTTCTGTCTTAAAATACACAAAAGGTAATATATTTATAACTAAGAGTCATACAAGTAAATATGGTAAATGCATATATTGTGACTAATAATATCTAAACTATCTAAAATATCTAACACTCCCCCTCAAGCTCATGCATATAAATCATATGTACCAAACTTGTTACAAATATAATCAATTTTAGATCCCCATAAAAACTTTGTGAAAATATCTTTAAGTAATTGTTTAAGCCAAACAAGTTCACAAGAGACTGAGGTTTCTGCACTCAATCTTGCTACAACACTTTGTTTCTTGCTTTTCCAATAGATCAAGTTAACTCCAATAGAAACACAATATTCGGAAGTAGATCTTCTATTAGAAGAAGATCCTGCTCAGTCAGCATTTGAATAACAGACAACTTTAACCTGGTTATTGTGATCATATATCAAATCTTTTTTGGGAGATCCTTTAATGTATCTTAATATATGAATGACTGCACTCCAATGATCTGCACATGGGGAATTAAGAAATTGACTCAACACAATAACTGCAAAGAAAATGTCAGGACAAGTAACAATAAGATAGTTTTCAACTAATCTTCTGTACTTCTTAGGTTTGATATTGGGATCCATGGGTGTTTCAACATATTTTGAGTTCATCAACCCAATTTCTTCTAAAATATCTGTTGAAAGTCCCACATCGCCTGCCTCATGTCATTTGGTATGATTTAAATACATGTTAGGCTATTCTACATATTGCCAATTGGTTTTATGTTGGAACCTAAACATGGTATCAGAGTCAAAGCCAAACATTTTTCCGGTTATTGTCTTGGACTAAGAGTTGCCCTTTCATTGTGGGTCAAAAGTACCTTTGCCTGGTTTGACAGGCTTCGTTGGAGGGGGCGTGTTGAAAGTCCCACATCGTCTGCCTTATGTCATTTAGTATTGTTTAAATACGTGTTAGACTACTCCACATATTGCCTATTGGTTTTATGTTGGAACCTTAACAATATTCAATATACTTTCTCTGAGATATAACAATGCCATTATTGGATTGTGCTACCTCAATCCCCCAATAAATATCTAAGTTTGCCAAGATATTTGGTCTGAAAGTGGTGACAAAGGTGTTGCTTCATCTGGGAGATGCCATGGTGATCACTCCCTGTAAGAATAATATCATCAACATATAATATTAAATAAATACACCCAACACTTGAGTGACGGTAAAATACCAAATGACCTGCTTCACTGCGAGTCATACCAAACTGTTGAACAACACAGCTAAATTTTCCAAATAAGGCTCTAAGAGACTGTTTTAAGCCAAGGAGACTGTTTTAGGCCATATAAAGATTTGTGAAGATGACATACCAATCCAGAAGACTTCCCCTAAACAACAAAGCTTGGAGGTTGCTCCATATAAATTTTTTCTACAAATCTCCATTAAGAGACATCCAGTTGGTAAAAAGACCATTGTTGAAAAGCAACCATGATTATGAATAAGCGAATAAAAGTCATTTTTGCCACTGGAGAAAAGGTGTCATCATAGTCCAAACCAAAAATTTGTGTGTAACCTTTGACTACAATACGAGTTTTGAGACGGTCAATAATATCATTAGGATAAACTTTGATAGTAAAAATCCACCTACAACCAACAATAGATTTTCCAGATGGTAATGAGACGAGTTCCCAAGTCACTATTCTGAAGAGCACTTATTTCATCAAGCATTGCTTGACGCCAATCAGGATGGGCTAAGGCATCACCAATGGATTTGAGAATTGACACAGAAAAAATGGACGAAAGACAGGTATAAAAAGGTGGAGATAATCTATGGTAACTCAAAGTAGTATAATGAGGAGGGGAATTACGAGTAGAACGTATACCTTTACAAATGATAATTGGAAGGTCAAACTTAGTTGTCGGAGTCGAAGGAGAAAAAAGAGTTGACACTAGATGTGAGTCATTTGGTGGTTGTTGGGATCATTGTCTTCAACTATAAACATGAAGTGGTGGTGACGGAGGAGGATACGAAGGTGGACTAATAGGAGAATCACACACAATAGGAATATTGACAGTAGCAGACGACGACACATGGAGAAGGAGATTATTTAAAGTAAAATAAAGACTCATTAAAGGTGACATCCGTAGAAATAAAGTAACGGTTAAGAGAAGAAGATAAACACTTTTATCCTTTTTGTGATCGAGTAAATCCTAAAGAAACACATTTGTATGATTTAGGAGATAATTTATCAAGATTAAGACTAAAGTTATAAACAAAACATGTAAACCTAGAAACTTTAAGAGGTAAGAAATGTAGTGGTTCATGAGGAAATAAAAGAGAATAAGGAATTTTATTATTTAGAACTGAAGATGACATGCTATTGATAAGATAACATGCAATAAGAATAACATCACCTCAAAAATGTTTAGCAACCTTATCATAAATTGAAAGAGTGCAAGTTATTTCAACAAGATGTTTATTCTTGCGCTCAACCACCCTATTTTGTTGAGGTGTATAAGCACATGAAGTTTGATGAAGAATGTCATGAGAAACCATAAAATGTTTAAAAGAATGAGACACGACCATTATCACTTCGCAACATTCGAATAGAAATCTCAAATTGAGTTTTAATTTCATTGAAAAAGATTGGAATATAGCAAACAAGTCAGAACGATTTTTCATTAAAAACAACCAAGTACTTCTGGAATAATAATCAATAAAGGTAACAAAATACTGAAAACTTAAATTAGACTTAACATGACTAGGTCCCTAAATGTCAGAGTGAACTAATCCAAAAGGGGACAAAGAACGTTGTGAGACACTACGAAAAAATGAACTACGACTATGTTTCCGTAATTGACATGACTCACATAACAAACTAGATAAATTGGACATACTGAGAACAAACTGCTGCAATTTGGCAAGACTGGAGCATAGAGGAGTGATGGAGACTCTATAACTGTGCCAACATGTGTAGAAGGACGAAGATGATAAAGACTATAAGACTCACATCAGGTGCCAATGATCTATCTCGAATTCCGGTCCTGTAAACAAACAAAATCTTTGGTAAAAGAAATAACATAATCAAGAGAATGAGTTAGACGACTAATGGATAATAAGTTAAAGGGAGACCAAGGGACATAAAGAACATTATCAATGGATAAAGATGAAAAAAGTTTAACAGTACAACACCATGAGACAAAATCCTAGACCCATCAACCATTGTAATCAAAGGTGAATTATCCGGAGAGGATAAAGAAAAAATCAAGGATTTAATCCCAGTAATATAATCTGTGGCGCCTGAGTCAAGAACCCAAAGTCCAAGAGAAGGAGATTGAGTTAGGCCAACAAAAGATGTACCTGTGCGTGCAACAGAAGTAGTCGAACTAGAGTTCTGACGATCCTCGTACCATTTGAAAAATTCATTGAAAATAGCAGATTTGTCTGCGGTACAAGAGGAAGTAGGGTCCACGGTAGATGATTGTGAGGGAGATCAGTTTGGACAACTGCAGTAGGTCGAGGAGGATGACCATGTAATACATAACATCTATCAATCTTGTGACCTAGCTTGTGACAATGATCGCACTTGGGATGCCATTTTCTTGGCTTGCGATTATCACGTTGAGATGCCAAAGGGTGATATATTACTGATGTGTTTACTTGGCACACACAAAAGGGTGGAACAAGTAGAAGTGAAATTGACACAATAAGGGAACCCAAAATCTGATCATGGACCTAGGAATATTCGTTAGCAAGCCCATGTAATACCAACAACATGAAGAACTTTGACCGTTCCTCTAGTTCTTAGTTCCTCTAGTTCTTAGGCAGGAGGTAATAACTCATTAAAGTTATAAAGAAGAGTATGAATTTTACCCAAATATTCTGCCATTGGGCCATGACTTCGAGGAGCAACAACAGTGAGAAGATCGTGACAAACCCCATAAAGATGTTAAGTGTCATTAGTGTATAATAGTTTTGTCTGTTCCTAAACCTCGGAACACGTTTCATAGGCACGAAACATTTGCTTTAAAGAGGAGTGAATGGTAGACTTGAGAATGATGCATAACTGAGCATCAATTTCCATCCAACGAGAAACTTCACTGGTAGCAATAGTAGTCACATTCTAAGTAAGATAATCAACATACCCCTGACTCTTAAGCCAAAGTATAATGTCTGATGCCCAAGTCGCATAATTAGTGCTATTTAATTTATCAATAGACAAGTGCACATTCACATAATTAGTATTAAATGACGTATCAGACAAATTGGTGGTAGAGGAAGAGATATTAGAAGAGGCAGTGGAAGAAGCCATTCAGGAAGAGAGAGAAAAACCCTAAAAACTTTAAATAACATGTGGAGACTCCAATTGTGGCGATCTCAACGGTGCGGTGGTCGCCTAGTCGAGGCAAGGAGAATGGTGTGGTTGCAGGTTTGAATTGTAATTCCCGCGGCGACGGTGGCGGTGACAGTGACGGCTCCAACGATGATGGCGGTTCTGCCAAGGCGGCGGTGGCAGCTGCAAGGGCTGCTGGCAAAAAAAAGAAAAAGAGAACCTAAGCTCTAGATACCATGTTGAATATAGTAAAAACTAAGTATAAGGTTAATTCTCTATGTCTTAAAATACATATAGAATAATATATTTATAATTAAGAGTCATACAATTAAATATGGTAAATACATATATTGTTATTAATAATATCTAAAATATCTAAAATATCTACCCCAAGATATGCTATGCAGTTTCAATACATTTGACTTGATTGATGTTGATGGTGTTGTATTGTATACAGTAATACTTTTTTTTCAGATTGTTCTGACAAAAAAAGTTTAGTGGTTGGCTTTCTGTATCTCAATGATAGCATTTATCCAGTATTCTTTTAATATGGCCCAGAAAACTGTTTATAGCCTACAAGTTGGTTCTTCATTTTTGTTAACTTAAATTGCTTTCACTTCCTTCCCGAGTGCATTGTTGACTTCTTCATACAATTATCAAGTTTTCTTGTTTTTGTGTCACATAATTTCTCTTTGCTTTGTGGTTTGTGGTGCTATGCCAATAACCCCATGTGCTCCTCTCTAGTATGTATTTATATTGAATAATGTAATAATTATGTGCATATTGAGTTTGTTATTGTATTCTGTGGCCTCACTCAATTTTGTCCTGTAAGGCTGGCAACCTGGTATCCAAGAAGGAGCTGCCGACTGGGATGAAGATTGGGATAAGCTTGAAGATAAAGGTATTCAAAATAATCCTTACTAGATATTAATCTGTTAATTAAAAATGCTGTGCCTATTATGTGGCATCAACCTTAATTTATGAGGAACTTCTACACAAGGTTATGAAACGACTGGTATTCCTAATTTTTATTTTATACACTCTTATAATTTTGTATCTCCAAAATAAATTTGATTTCATTTTAAAGTGAATTTTTTAGTCCCTATAATTTGAAGTCCTGTTATCCAAACATCTTCTAAGAATGAATATGAAAGAAAAACAAACATGTAATAGGGTCTTTAATCATAAGAATCCAAAATGAAAATAAATGGCTTAATTACATTTTTAGCCCCATTATTTATTTATTTTATTTAATTCGGTCCTACTATTAACAAAAATTCAATCAAGTCCTGTAATTTTTAAAAACACAACAATGTGACTATTTTACATCCAAGTAGGAGTAAAATTGTTAACAAACAAATATTAACAGTTATAATTTAATATATATATATATATATATATATATATATATATATATTTATAATGAAGGTATAGCGATAATTAATAAAATAGGTCTACAGGTAAGAGATATTACGGTATGTTGTTTGAATTTAAATAATGGTTAACAGCATCTATCACTTTTAGATAATTTTGGAAATGGCTACGTAAATTGGCTATTCACAATGCTTGCAGAATTTGTGTTTGTCAAAGAACTCACTCTCGATGTGCAAAACACTATAGCGCCTCCAAAGCAAAAGTTGCCTTCAGCTGTGAACACAAAAGATGTGAACGCAAAAGATGTGAGCAATGAAGTTGTGAACACAGAAGCTGTGAACATAAAAGCTGTGAACACTGACAGTCCTACATTTGCAGCTTCTCCTAAGAGTGATGATAAGTCAGAAAAGCCACAGACTACCAATGAACAGGGAGTTGGCAATGGATCTGTTTATAACAAAAGTGAGGATGGATCAGCAAAAAGTGCTCCCAATAGTCCTTTTGCCGGCAGTGCTATTGGAAGTCCGCATGGGGACTTTGCTGATTCTGACTTTAGAAAGACAGCTGGTGAAGATAGCTCACCCCGTGATCAAGATCCCATACAAGAAACCCAAAGGTATGGTTTTTAAGATATTTACTCCAGTTTCCCAAATGCTGGCCAATTGCCCATTTTACCGTATGATTAGGAAATGTCCTCTTATTTTCGGATCATTATTATTCTTTGTGCCTTTGGAAGGTCATGGTATTTGTAGTTTATCATGATTATTTTATTGGGAGGGATCAACTTAGTGTATAAGTAACTCTTTGTTAAGTTACTCTCTTTAATAACTTTTTTGTCTATATTAAATTTTATTAATCCTACAGGTGAATATTTAGATATTGATTCAACAACCATGAACATCAAGTTTTAGATAAATCACACATTTGAACTTACGTAATCTTGTATACGGCGTTTGATTGTTTTTCAAAATGCATTGTACGTTAAATTAAATTTATTTGATGAAGTATCAAATAATTTTACAATTTTATAAAAATTTGAAGACTTAATTTACTTATTATCAGTGGCGGATCTTGACCATTGATCTTGGAGGGCCAAATAATACATTATTAATAAATAATAAATAAATATAAAAGAAAAAAATATGAAAGGTTAAAAAGATAAAATTGTAGATATATATTTAAATATATTAAATTATCATTAAGTTTGATGGAAACAAAATCATAAATTATATGATAGTTACAAAATTGAGGAGGGGCTGAGAGGATAAAATTGTAAATATACAAGTAAATATATTAAATGCTCATTATGTTTGGGGGGGCCAAAATCATAAATTATATGGGAGTTACAAAACTTTGGGGGGGTCACTGCCCCCCTCAGCTCCCAAGAAGATCCGCCACTGCTCATTATGAAGTTTTAATTTAATAGTTTGATTAATAAAGTTTGATATACACAAATAGTTATTGAAGGGAGTAACTTTGCCAAGAGTTGCTCCTGGTTGTGCGTTTTTGTTAAATACTCCTTGGTCTCCACCCAACAAGTTAATCTTCTAGCAGATTTGTCCTTGACATGGTTTTAGAGCCTCTCTTTCTGTTTGGATAAGAGTTTGATCTGAGCTGTCCTATTTTTTCAGTCATATTACAACTCTAGCAAAAGGAAAAACGAGCTTGGCCATCATCCATGTTTCAACTCAGGGAATTTATGTGAGGGTCTGTGTTAGAGACCCATCGGCTGTTTGAGTTAATAATGATAATTGTTACCTCTCATATCTGATACCTTTATTTAAGAGTCACTAATTGTTGTATACTTTATAGGTTTTGGGCTGTCATATCTTTTTATCCGGCATAGTTAAATAGTGGTACTATCATCAGCATACACATGCACCCTTGGTGTGAAGATTATATTCCACATTAACTTACCAAAAAACTATTTGTCTATGCAAAATTTGAGGATGCTAATCTCTTCATGGCTGAGACTTGCATCTTAGCATCATATACACAATTATGCTACCATTAACTAAATAGAATTTTATGTTTTGATTTCTTCATCTGTTGGTGATTTGAGACATATTAACTTTAGCCTTATACTTCTTTAATTTTATGACTTAGCAATATAAAATCTTAAAGTTAATATATTATGTCAATAAATGTGTTGACTCGGTTGCATCCCATGCATTATTGGGTCTTGGTCAGGTTAATTCCGGTCCAAACAAATGGCCCGATTAAAAATTTGAACTAGGTAAGGGATTAAGCTACATCTGTTTAAACCTTTCGTGAGAGTTTATCTAGTGCATGGATGTGGAATTTCATTCCCAACTTCAGTTAGAAATTGTTTTGTTATACATCTGTGTCAATAGATACCAATGTTTACTTTATTTTATATTTTCACTTGTTATAGATCTTGTGATGATGCAAAATAATTTAAATATAATCTTGCATATGTAGTGATCGTGGTGGTGTCAAGTCTCTATTTTCTGGGGACAAAAATTTCGATGAACCAAATTGGGGAACCTTTGACACTAATGATGATATTGATTCAGTTTGGGCATTCAATGCCAGTAGCACCACTAAAGAGGTATGCCAATTCTCTCACCTCAGTATTATCATGGCAAAATTATTTTTTATTTCAAAACATGCGTCATTTTAATTGAGAAAATATTGAAACTAGTTTGCAAATGATTGATGGTATCGGAGTAGAAAGTATTTTACTATCTGACTGAGCTCAGATCTGCTCTCCTAAGGTACATAAATTGAACATAATCAAGGAATGACGAAAAATAGCATTATTAAACAGTATTCTACTGAGCCCCACCCCACCTTCTGTTAGTGTACGTGGTCATGTCTTGCAGAAATTTAAAATTTTTAGTTGCTTGTGCGTGTTTGATCAATGGGTACTTTTAATCTACCAGTCTACCGATTACTTTTGGAAAGTTGTTCGTACAGGAGAGAGATTTTGAAGGCGCTGGAGACAACTATTTCTTTGATTCTGGAGAACTAGGCTTAAACCCCATTAAAACAGGTTCACCACAGGTTGGTGATCTCTTCCAGAGGAACACTGGATTCAGTTTTGATGATTCTGTTCCAAGCACGCCACTTTTTAGCTCAAGCAGCTCTCCGCAAAGGCCAAAAGAGTGGTTGGAATCTGCTTTTGACTTCTCAAGATTTGATTCTTTCAGAACACATGATAGTGTATCATTGCCTGCTCGGGAGACGACCGAACAATTTGATTCAGTGCGCAACAGTGTGGATTTTGATCATGTTCATGGGTTTCCAGCATTTGATGACTCGGATCCCTTCGGCTCTGGGCCGTTTAGGACTTCATCGGATAGTCAAACTCCAAGAAGAGGATCTGATACTTGGAGCGCGTTTTAGCTTAGAGCAAATTCACCCAATGCATTATTTGTAGTTTTGGTGTCTTACTATTTGGACCTGTTACAATGTGTAATGTATTTCTTGTATTTTATCCTGTGTATTCATTCCTTGTTCCCACTTTTTTCTTTGGGGAAGGGCACGGCATTGTCTCCACTCCAGCAATCTCACTCCCCTTAGATTGAAATTGAAGGCCTGTCTATATTTTTGGTTTGTTGGTTGATACTTTTCTATAGTCCTGCAGAAGAGATTGTGGTATTCATGACTATCTCATTCGAGTGATGTTTACTCACCGGAATTTTATTATGATTCTTTTTCATTTGTGAACTATAACTTGAACCTAATTTGTCCAATTAAATTTACAGAAATGCAATCAATATTTCTCACAATCTTTGCTATTAACTGAAATTTATGTTGTGACTGAAATTCATTAACATTTCTCTTCAATCTAATTGCATCGGAACACTCTGGGGCTATTTCTGATTTTGTAGAAAGTGTTCGATGAAGAGACTAGTTATAAATTATGTTAAATTTGGGTGGAGAATTTTTAGATTACAAGGAAATGCAGTGAAATTGATTTGTTCATAATTCGTTTTGTTTGCATGGTTATTGTTCAGAAATTTAAAGGAAAACAAGAATATGGTTGAATCTAAAAGAATTGTAACAATCTGCAAAAAGAAAAAGAGATTGTTTGAGATACAATAATTAGACGACTAGTTTGGACTGTAATTCTGCTCTAGTTTTTTAGGACAATCATTGGTTTAAAAATGCTTTCAGACAATTTAATTTTAATTAATAAGTTTTGTAATTATCTTTATATTTACTGCAATCAAAATCATTTATTTATAAACAACTCAAACTTATCTTATAAGTGAACCTATTTTGACCAATAAATCACAATTTCAATTAATGAACTAGGTTATATTTTTACACAATAAAGGTTATTTACGTCTAGTTTATTAAAACATAGTCCTACTTTTGTTGTAATGCATCGATGTTTAAATTGAAGAATAACCAGTTGTAAAATTTAAGTTAAGATATATTTTGTAATATATACTATAAAATAAATATTACATCATTTCATATATATATATTTTTTATCTCGTCACAAATTTCTTTCAATTATGAGGGTAAGAGATTGTTTTTACTCGTATCATTGTGATTATTAATATTTTGATATTTGTTTACACATTTACATTATTTTATCAAATAAAAGTTATTATTATTTTTTTAAAATTAAACCTTTAAAATTTAGTTATAAAAAAAGAGAATGTAATTTGAAAAAAATAAATGTGCAAAAAGAAACTCCTTTTTATCCTCTAGCCTACACATGTTAAAATTTATACCTAGTGACCAAACAATTGAGAGTTGAGAAATTTATAAAAAATAATTAAAAAAATCGTAATATGATAAAAAATAAATTAAACATTGTTTATTCAAAACTCACTACACGATTTATTAAATATAGATGGTAAATTTAGTATAGGTGGAGAAGGCGTTCTTACAATGAGAACCTTTTGACTATCATTCGTAATCACCGTATAAAGTTATTATATGAAACACAAGCATAAAACAAGAATGTTAAGTTAACACAAATATAAGATAGATTTTACAACAACTTGAATCATTTTTCAAAGTCAAATTACTGATTAAAAAAAAATCGTATGACTCTCCAACTCGTGTATATAGTAAATCCCATACTTCTCTTCTTAATCTATTTTATTTTATGAAATTATTATCAAATGATCAATCATTAATAAAAAATAAAGTAGGATATAACCATAAAATTTGGTACTACTTATAAATATACTTTTTCGTAATTAATGTCAATAACTTATTTTCTCTATAAAAGATTAATAATTACAAAATATAATTTTAAATATTTTTATTATTAATATCTCTTGTTAAAATTATGTATATCTAACTTGTATATAAAAGTCAATAAGGTTATAGGTTCAAATTAAATACAGGGCAAGAGAAATTGTGGTGAGTCTGGAAGGAACATCACCTTGTACCAAAACTCACTCCAAAACAGCACCAATTTATTTGCAATTCCAGATCATGATAGTCACTTGACCACTGCCAAATTCCTGTTGACATGATGAACCTATCCACTAAAAGATCCACTTTACAAGCCGTGGTCCAAGGCACCGGCATGCGTATAATTTAGATGAGTAGTGCGTTAGTTAATGAGAAATGCATGATAGATTAGACACACAACACAATACATTCTGCAATCCTCGTCGCATCCCATAACACCACCACTTCAACGTTGAAATTACCATAAATGAAAGGTTACAATCTTATGCGCACATTTTGCACTTTATACTCATTCACATCAAAATGGCCCAGTGCTCAGACACTGTCCCACTTGCTTCTAACTTCTAAGGAATTTTCGAGTGGCTAACCATAGGTAGAGACTATCACAAATGGACACACACAAAGAAAAAATCTGAAGGTAGTAGACTCTAGGTCGTTTTCACAACTCCACTTTCTCAATTTTTTAATCCGGTGTATGACTTAAAATTCACACTTTATTCTTAACCATCTTCCTTTGATTCTCTTTTACATTAAGTATTAGATTTTTAATCTTTTTCATTAAAGTTATTAAACATTCTCTCTACTTAACGTGAAACTTGAAACTCACCATTGAATTCTGGTGGTAGAGTGGTGTCTCATGTCACTCCCCCTCCGGGCTCCGGCTTTCTGATTTTATTTTCTCCCCCTACAATTATAATTATAATTTTTTATGTCTCTCTCCATCTCTTTCATTTCCCTTTCAACTGAGTTCAATACTAATGCTTATCACACACTAACATTTACCACACACAATCACTTGTCTATAATTTATTTTCCATCAAAACACAGCTTTGTCAACCATTTTTGGTCACACTAGTAGTGGTCTTCTCTCCTATCTCCTTTAATCTGTTAATACATGCATAATTATGCAGCTTGCCTGTCGTAGGTTATTCATGAATCTTCTATTCTTTGCATTAACATTGATCCTATTACATGGATCATCAAGAGCAAGAGAAGAAGCTTCCGGACATGATCATGATGTCGTCAAAATCGGTGCCATATTCACACTGAAAACTATAAACGGACAGGTTTCCAAAATTGCCATCCAAGCTGCTGAGAAAGATGTGAATGCTGATCCTCGCATCATGGGGGGACGTAAATTGTCCATAAACATCCATGATTCCAACTTCAGTGGCTTTCTTGGCTTCATTGGGGGTATGTTATCTGTGTCTATCGCTTGCTTGTTTGATATTCTTAATTTGATTGTTGGTTGGTGTTAACTGGTGCACTTGCTGACAGCCCTCAAGTTCTTGATGACCGACACTGTAGCTATAATCGGTCCACAAGCTTCGGTCATGGCTCATGTGCTTTCACATCTCGCAAAGGAGCTCCATGTTCCCTTACTTTCCTTCACGGCTCTGGATCCCACGCTCACACCTCTCCAGTATCCTTATTTCGTCCAGACAGCACCCAGCGATCTGTTCCAGATGACTGCAGTTGCAGACATGATTAGTTATTTTGGCTGGAGAGAAGTCATAGCAGTATTCAGTGATGATGATCAGAGTCGAAATGGGATAACTGTTTTGGGGGATAAACTTGCAGAGAGACGCTGTAAGTTGTCTTACAAAGCAGCACTGCCTCCTGATCCAACCGCCACTCCAAGCTTTGTTACCAGTCAGTTACTGAAGATTAAAAGTATGGAGTCTCGAATAATCGTTTTACACACCTTCGCCAAAACTGGTCTCTTGGTTTTAGACGTGGCTCAGAAACTAGAAATGATGGGCAAAGGGTATGTCTGGATAGCTACTACTTGGTTATCAACTGTTTTAGATTCAACTTCTGCTCCACTACCTTCAGACAATTCTACCTCAATTCTAGGAGTTCTTACCCTTCGCCCTCATACCCCTCAATCCATAAAAAAACAGGCATTCATCTCGAGGTGGAAACACATAAGTAATGGCTCAATTGGGTTAAATCCATACGGACTCTATGCATATGATTCTGTCTGGATAATTGCTCAGGCACTAAAATTATTTTTTGAACAGAATCGAACCGTTTCATTTTCTAACAACACAAAGTTAAGTAGTACGAGGGAAGAGGCTCTGGATCTGGGTGCTTTGAGCGTTTTTGATGGAGGGAAGCAGCTACTTGATAACATTTTGCGCATTAATATGACTGGATTGACTGGACCTATTCACTTTGGTTCAGATAGATCTCCTCCACATCCATCATATGACATCATTAATGTAATTGCTACAGGTTTTCGGAGCATCGGTTACTGGTCTAATTACTCTGGACTCTCAGTAATAACCCCTGAGAAACTTCAGAAGAAGCCTGCCAATCGTTCAATTTCAAGCCAGCATCTAAAGCATGTTATATGGCCTGGAAATACTGCAGAAAAACCTCGTGGATGGATTTTCCCAAATAATGGGAGGAAACTGAGAATTGGAGTTCCCAACAGAGTTAGTTATAGAGACATAGTCTCACAAATGAATGGCACAAATGCAGTTCAAGGATATTGCATAGATATATTCCTAGCTGCCATAAAATTGCTTGCATATCCAGTTCAGTATAAGTTCATTCTGTTTGGAGATGGAAAAAATAACCCAAACTACTACGATCTTGTCAACATGATTACTTCTGATGTAAGAAATACTCGCCGAAATTACAATCCTTTTACGACGTAGTACAAATATGAGAATTGTCTTGTTTTTATTGATATTGCGTTTGCATCTGCAGGGTTTTGATGCTGTTGTAGGTGACATTGCTATTGTCACTGACCGAACAAAGATTGTGGATTTTACTCAACCATATATAGAATCGGGGCTAGTTGTGGTTGCTCCGGTAAAAAAATTGAAGTCACATGCTTGGGCTTTCTTGCGGCCATTTACTCCAGTGATGTGGGGTGTCACTGCATTTTTTTTCCTCTTTGTTGGAGCAGTGGTGTGGATTCTTGAACATAGATCAAACGATGAGTTTCGGGGGCCGCCAAAGGAACAGATAGTTACAGTCCTTTGGTATGTACTAAGTACTTTTCCTATTACTAAACTTTACATCCCTTCCGAATTGACTCCATTAGCTTGTGTACATATCTTGACACAACTCATCATCTTCGTATGGTGTTGCAGGTTTAGTTTCTCAACCATGTTTTTTGCACACAGTAAGTCCATCCATTTTGGCATTTCATGTCGTATTCAAGAAACATATTCTTGTGTATCTTTGTCAGTAGATACAAATAAGCTTCTTTATTGTTTCAGGAGAAAACACAGTCAGTCCACTTGGTCGAATTGTGTTGATAATCTGGCTTTTTGTGGTTCTGATAATCAATTCAAGCTACACTGCAAGCTTGACATCAATTCTCACCGTGCAGCAGCTGTCTTCCCCCATAACAGGAATTGATAGCTTGATATCCAGCAGTGAACGTATAGGGTTCCAAGTAGGCTCGTTTGCTGCAAACTATCTCACTGAGCAACTCAATATCCCCAAAAATAGACTTGTTCCTCTTGGCTCACCAGAAGAATATGCCGTTGCCCTTGAAAGGGGAACTGTTGCAGCTGTGGTGGATGAACGGCCATACGTAGAACTCTTCCTTTCAAACCGCTGCAAATTCTCAATCAGGGGCCAAGAGTTCACCAAAAGTGGATGGGGATTTGTGAGTATCTTTAGAATAGATAGATATAACGTGAATTTACTGGTACTATTTTCTCAAAATTACTAGAATGAAGTTTCTCAAAATCAGGGTGTAAAATTTATGTATTTTGTTGCAATAATAACCACCAATGCAAAAGGCAGAAAATAATGGTAAAAGCTGTGAAAATTTATAAAATGGGAGGTAAGAAATCACAAAATGAATATTCCAAAAGAAAAACTGTTTATGCCAGTTTAATTGGCTTGCCTTTAACTTCTTTGAAGAAATACTAAAAATTATGTTGATGGTCGAGTTCAATACTAGATTATTCGCGTCTTGACTAATTTATGCAGGTAATGAATTTGAAGGATTGAATTTCAATAATAATTTGTTGGGTGTGATGGCAGGCATTCCCAAGGGACTCTCCTTTTGCAATTGATATGTCAACTGCCATTTTAACTCTATCTGAGAATGGTGAACTTCAGAGGATCCATGAAAAGTGGCTTTCAGAGAAGGCTTGCCATTATCACAGCAGTGAGGATGAACAACTTCAATTAAATAGCTTCCGGGGACTGTTTGTGATATGTGGAATAACATGTTTCGTGGCGCTTCTAATATACTTTTTATCAATGCTGCACCAATTTGGTAAAAAATCCCTTCAGAAAGCTGGTCCTTCTGATCGTTACAGCTTGCCTTCTGCACGCATCCAAACATTTCTACATTTTGTTGATGAGAAAGAAGAAGTATCTCCCAAGAAATTAAAAAGAAAACTGGAAAGTATTTCATCGAATCGTTTGAGGAGCATATCCAAGACCAAGAGCAAGACTCAGAGAGTGCAGGTGGACATTTCCTAATAAGCTCCCTCCTTCTCATTCTCTTCAACATCTCATCAATGTATTTCTTCAAATTCATTCCCCTCTTCTTCTGTTTCTGTCATGGATCATCATCTCACCTCATACTTTGTTCACTACTAAAGATCATCATCTTCATGATTCACTTGGTTAGTCGCATAATTATTTAATTTAATATCGTTTTGAGATTCTTTTTTAAATGACAGAAAAAAATGTTTTTTTTTTTCTTAAAACCAAGTACTATTTAAATCAACGCTATATCAGTCAACATCTACCAACAAAGGTAACTTCTAAATTAGATAAGAAAAAACCAATCAAAATTTTACTAATTTATTTTTGAAATAAAGCCATATGAATATAAATATGTAGTATACAAAATAATTTACTACACGAGATTTTGCCGAGTATATATCATTTCAAACATATATTCAAGAATCACGCCGGGTCCAAAAGATCCAAGAAGAGTAAATAAAATTAGGTCTAGGATCAATAAATGATAACGAAACTTTTTGACCACAACATTGATGCCGTCAGTGGAGAATTGAAATACACAAATTTTCTTTTTTCCACTTTCACACAATGACTACGTGCACTACGCAAGCAAACTCTCAACCTAAGAAAGATGATTATACCACGATACAACAAATGATGGTGATGATAAAACAACTTGAAACAATAGGAAAAAGCTCAATTGAGGGTGCAAAGGGCTCAAAGCGAGCAAGACTAGTTGCGTCAGAAGAATGATGAATTATAACAAACCCTCCAACACTTATTGATAAAGTGTAAGGAGCCAACCGAATCATAGTTGGCTGCTGGTTTGTGCTTGTTTTTTTTCTTTTCAATAAGTTTATGTATTAACAAGGTTGGAGGTTTCTTCTTTTCCTTCAGGGTTTTTCTTCCAAATCGAGTGAATAAAATGACAAATAAAAAATAAAGCTATCGGATCGAATTTCAACAAAACGAATGCGACTTTATTAGGTCAGATTTCTATAAAATGGATGCGACTCTATATGGACGTGTTGTTCTACAATAGTTGCAACCTTATCAGGTCTGATTTTGACAAAACGGATGCGATCCTATATGGATGTGTTGTTCTACAACTGTCACGACCTTATCATGTTGGATTTTGACAAAACGAACATGACCCTATATGGCGTGCTGTTCTACAACGGTCTTGACTTTATCAGGTCGGATTTCGACAAAACGAACGTGACCTTATATTGGCGTGTCGTTCTACAACGGTCGCGACTTTATCAAGTTAGATTTCAATAAAATGGACTCAACCCTAGTGTTATAGAACGATTGCAATCTTATTAGGTCAAATTTCGACAAAACGGACACAACCCTATATGGGCGTCCTGTTCTACAATGGTCGCGACCTAATCAGGTCGAATTTCGACAAAACAAAAGTGACCCTATGAGGTCGGACCTTGTGAGGTCGGACCCTGTGAGGTCGTATTACCACTTGACAGGTCGGTCTACAATGCACGACCCTAAGTGGTCGGTCTACAATGAGCGACCTCAAGAGGTTAGTCTATAATACCCGACCTTAGGAGGTCGATATACAATGTGTGATCCCATGATATTAGTTTGCAATGCAGTCCTATGAAATCGATCTACAATAAAATCCTATAAGGTCAGTCTATAATGTGCGATCTTATGAGATCAGTCTACAATACAACTCTATAAGGTCAATCTACAACGCGATCCTATGAGGTCGTATTACCAATTGACTCTATAAGGTCAGACCCTGTGAGGACTGACGAGGTTGAACTCTGTGAGGTTGATTTATAAAGTAACCCTATGAGATCGGTTTTTAATAACCATATGAGATTGATTCGTAATTGGACCCTATGAGATCGGGTTGTGACAGGTCAATTTATATAGTAACTACATTTTAGCATATTCACATGTTGATTTATATAATATTATAAAAAAATACGCACACATTTAAGGTTGAAGGGGTTGTGTAGTGTCTAAAATAACTTACTCTCTTATCATTCATTATTCAACCGAGTGTGTCGCCCAAATATCTTATCGTTTTACCTTAGATATCTCGTCCGAATATATGATCAGAGCTTACCCTCAACAATGATGCTACCAAGTAATAAAATCTAAATAAGTACCGAATTGAACTCGTATAAAGATCGAAGATGAAACAAAATTATAAAAGTAACAATTTACTCTCTGAAATTTTTTTTACTATATCTCATCCTAAATATATCTCTTGAAATCACATGAGTTTATCCATAAATAATTTCAATCAATCAAAAAGTTGATCCAAAACCTCAAAGAAAATAGATAAAATTAGGTTTATTTCGTACGGATAATAAAACTTTTTTATCTGAACAAGATCATATTTCTTAAAAATGAAATTCACTCAAAACAAAACTATGGGCTTGGGTTGTGTAGTGAATAGACGAACCAAGGGTCCCTCCCAATAAAATTACCAACGTTTTGTGCCATCCGAAAAATAGACGAGTATTCTTCTATTTTGTCTTGATTAGTGAGTGAGGCAAGAAAGAAAACATGAAAAATAAAATTGAATTGAAATATGACACTGCTGCTGAGTGCGGTAGTTTGGATTATTGAAGCTTGGCTTGGCTTTCGTAGTTATTTATATTATATATAAATGAAATTCTTCTTTTTATATAGTAGTATGAAGATTATCATGCGAATAAGATTTATATAAAGAAGAAAATAATATAACAAAAATAACTACTATAATTTATATATTTTAAAAAATAATAAATAAAAGTAATAAATAAATTATTATTATTTAAAAGAGAGAGAGTAATTTTTAGTTATTAATAGGATTGCAGGTGTGAAGGTGGGGAAGAGGAAGTGGAGATGGCGACTACAACGTGGATTCTGAGTCCTTCTCCGGCGAGTTTCAAAGGCAGGGAGATGCCGATTGAAAAATTCAGAATCAGATGCAGCAGCGTCTCACTCAATACTCGAAGTGAGCCCCAACCCGTAACCACCTTCGTCAAAGCGTTTGCTCCCGCCACCGTCGCCAATCTCGGTCCCGGCTTCGACTTCCTAGGCTGCGCCGTAGATGGACTCGGCGACATTGTCTCCGTCAGGGTTGACCCACAGGTTCACCCTGGCGAGGTACACATCTCCGATATCACCGGCCACGCCCCTAATAAGCTCAGCAAAAACCCTCTCTGGAACTGCGCTGGCATCGCCGCCATCGAGGTCATGAAAATGCTCGCCATTCGATCCGTCGGTCTCTCCCTCTCCCTGCAGAAGGGCTTGCCTTTGGGAAGCGGTCTGGGATCGAGCGCCGCTAGTGCCGCCGCCGCCGCCGTGGCGGTGAACGAGATGTTTGGAAAGAGATTGGGCGTGGATGAGCTTGTTTTGGCGTCGTTGAAATCAGAAGAGAAGGTTTCGGGATATCACGCGGACAACGTGGCCCCCTCGATCATGGGGGGTTTTGTACTGATTCGGAGCTACGAGCCGCTGGAGTTGATCGAGCTGAAATTCCCTGAGGAGAAGGAGCTGTATTTCGTGTTGGTGAGTCCTGAGTTCGAAGCCCCGACGAAGAAGATGCGGGCTGCGCTCCCCGGCGAGATTGGGATGGCGCATCACGTGTGGAATTGCAGCCAGGCTGGCGCTCTGGTGGCGTCGGTGTTGCAGGGTGACGTGGTGGGGTTGGGGAAGGCTTTGTCCTCTGATAAGATCGTTGAGCCCCGCCGTGCCCCCTTGATTCCCGGCATGGAGGCTGTGAAGAGGGCTGCCCTTGAGGCTGGGGCCTTTGGCTGTACCATCAGCGGCGCTGGCCCCACCGCCGTTGCTGTCATTGATGATGAGCTCACTGGACATGCCATTGCCAAACACATGATTCACGCCTTTCTCCACCATGGCAATTTGCAGGCTTCTGCTAAAGTCTTGCAGCTTGATCGCCTTGGTGCTAGACGCATTCATGATTGAACTCTCTCTCGCTCATTGCATTCCTGTGCTATTCTATGCCTACGGTACCTTCTTGTTTATTCCCTTTTTAGTCATTCTATCAACATTTCTTTTCTTCTTCACATGGATGTTTTCTTATCTTAATAACACCATCATATAACCACAATGTTTATCAAATCCTTTTACATTGTTCTGATGAATCAATCTTCATTTTTATTTGTATAAATGCCCATCTCCCTACATTTGTTCTCGTGAATCAATCTCCTTACACTCTATGTCAAGTAAAATAACTGGTGCGACTGCTCTCCTGTTTTTCATCAGTCTCATCCTTACTCTACAAGTCTACGATCTTGCCATGTCTCAACTCCCCACTTTTCTCCTTCATGCCCAAAACATTAATGATATTATTTAAAATGGAGATGCAAGGATAAGTCCACGTGCACTTTGTTCCCAACCCCCGTATTATTGTTCTAAGCTTCTTGAAATTGTTGAGATATTCTGATTAAATCTTGAGTTTATATTTTTTGGATATATTAAATCCATAGAATCTGGCTCGGCTTTTCTTTTCTGTAGCCAGTGAGTTGATCTAACACGGAATGAATTCTAACTTAATATGCTTACCGGAATCTTGTAGTTTTCAAAAGTTGGATCTTTTCACTACCCCGCGACACCACAAGTGCTGACGCATCATGCGTATTTGATGAGAAAAACAGCATTCTAGTGTGGAGATCTGAATAAAAAGCAACATAAACCAAGCTGGGAGCTGCATCCGGGTGGCGAATATATAATTAGATGAATAATTATGAAAGAACTAGATCAGGTCAGTGTTGTGGTGAGCTCAAAGGCATGTTTTAGGTTTTGTTTTATCTTTTGTTTACTTCTTCTACATGCTACTTAAGGAAGTTCAATATGAGGATCGAAGTCTTTTGTCTTTGCAGTCTTTCCTTCATTGCGTTAATCTTGCTTTTTAATAGTATGTGAAATGTTTTTCATTAGTTGTTCTTGAAGATTTCTCTGTCATTTCAATGCCAAATTTTTATTTTTCTTAATTAAATCTAAGAAAACGTGTGGGGACTTTTATCACTGGTTTTACTTTGAAAGCTAGTTTCTATAGGATATTTATGGTTGCTCATGGAATGACAGATTATGATGAGCTAAAGTTGCATGTTTTTTTTTTAAATTTACTTTATAAATATCCAAACTGGAACTAATTTCACTTTTCTTATAAAATAAATAGTGTAAACCCTCTAGATCTTCTTTTAAGGAATACGTAGTAATCACATTAGTTATTTAAAATGCTTTGCTGCCAAATTAGACATTTACAAAACTATAATATTAGTACATCAACAGCTATTAAATTAATTACATAGAAATTTTAAATATCACTTTATTCATTTTTTTTTCAAAATGGGTAAATTAATAACAACAATTTTTTTTTACTGTTTTACTTTTTTAAGAGATAAATTGTCATAAAAAGAAGAAGAGATTTTTTAGTTACTGTGAGTCAGATTAATCTATAAGTCAGTAGATTATAAAAAAAGTCAGATTAGTCTATGAGAGTGCATTAGAAAAAAAAATTGCCACTGGAAAAAAATTAATTGCTACTTGTAGACAAAATTTTAAAAAAATCTAAAATAAGTAAAGTCTTATCAGATTGTATAAATTAATTTTGTAACAAAAAGAACTAGAGTAAAAACCATATTATTCCATGCATCCAATAGTAAATTTGCATTTAAAAAAACTATGTAAGTATTTTTGAAATTGAAATAAAATATTGTGCGTTTTATTTTCCTCTTTTAAAACATGTTTCATTCCTAGGAATTGTTTGTGGCCTGTCTGGTGAATTATTGGACTACTGGCAGGTCAAGATGAACTAGCCCTCTTCTTTCAAAAAAAAAAAGAAAAAGAAAAACCAATGAAAATTATATTAAAATTTTAAATTTGCATGTTTTTCAGATTTATTATATAAAAAATATATTTATTATTAATTTATTTTATAGAATGATATTTTAATACTAATAAAAAATAAATATTCAAATAAAATTTAAATTAAGTTATTAATATATTTGACACCTTCTGACTAAATTTGTTTATTTATATTAATTTTATAAAATAAACAATTTAAAATATCACATTTTTCCTTTTCTTTCTTCTTTTACCAGGGACTTAGTTCGTGGGTGCATCCTAAACGGGGCATACGTAATATAATTTAATTTTGATGTTACTCAAATATTTTTTATATTGTTCTCTTTTCTTTAAAAATTTGTACTTTCAAAAAGCAAAGTTTATTAATATGACAATAAATTATAAAACAAATATTGACGAAATACGATAATTAAATTCCATTCAGCATTAAATTTTCGACATCTTTAAAATAATAGCATTAGCAGAACATTTATAATACTTAACATTGATTATAAATTCTATGATAGACATTGCCTACCAAAAGAATTGTCATTCCTATTTTTGTTATCCCAAAAGTTCCTACTTTTTCTAACATGTTTTAAAATGAAAGCCATGTTGTATGTAAATCCTTTGTTTCATTTCCTGAAACTATAAATTCCTACTAATACTAAGGAATAAGATAAGAAGAGTATGTTACTTAAAATTTAAGTAAGAGTAAACAATAATCTATAAATTCACGAAATAAAGGTTATAAAATAAAGAGTATGATAAAATTAATTTTACATTAAAGTTAGGTACTATTGACAGCTTCAACCTGCTTTGCCCCGACAGAGAAGAACTCAATGATCACTTCCAGTGGCATGCCTTTGGTTTCTGGAACTTTTAAGAAGACAAACACCCAAGCTATGATGCATACGACCGCATACATACCAAAAACACCACCAAGGCCCAGGGAATTAAGCATAACTGGGAGCGTGTACGTGACAATGATGTCACATATCCAAAATGTAAGAGCACATATAGCTATGCATAGACCTCGAACTCGAGTAGGGAAGATCTCTGAACATAGGATATTAGGAATTGGCCCAAAACCCATGACGAAGCAACAGAAGCAGACAACAACACTCGAAGTTGAGATAAAAGCATTCACAGTACTGTCGAAATCTACAAGACTGCCTACTACTAATATCAGAAGAGATACTATCAAGACGGGGATTGTAGTCAGCAGCAAGGTCCTGAATCAAGAAAAAAACCAAAAGAATTCACCACCGAGTATTCCAAATGTAAAAAAACAAAACAGAATAACTAAGCAAATATAAAATATTTAAGTTCTGAATCTTCAAACACATTCCAAATTAAAAAGGTGACAATCTATGTAATTATCTCAAATACTTTCATATAGGAACTTAAAAGCAAATGACAAAAAACAAAACAAAACAGCGCCTTCACCACAACAAAGCCTTGTTCACTAGGTTGAGTCTATGTACATGGATCATTCAACACCACTGAGCGCAATGAAAAACCAAAATTAAAACAAAAGATAGAGCATTTTTTTTTTTTTTCTGGAGGGTACTCTTAATGTTTTCATAAGTTTTACTATCTTTTATCAGAGCACTTCAACTGATTAACATTTCTCACTAGAGCCTTCATTGATCTTCGAACAACCCAGCTAGGATGAGTTTCCGTATCTATAGATGCTAACTTCAACATTCTCCAGGATAAAAGCTTTCCTAATCCTATCCTTTCTTATACGTCAGCTCATTCACGTCTGCATTCTCATCTTTAATAGCCTTTTTCTCATGTTGAAACATCATCACCCATCATTTACTGTCATTTAGATCGGTGATCTTATCACTGCTTACTGTAATTTTCCTTTTGTTTGAGATCACTTTGGAATTTCAAACGCAATTTGTTATTGAAATACTACCCTAAATTGCAAAATAATCTAGCAAAGAACGTACAGGAAAAAATGCAATGGAAACAGTATGTGCATGAGAAAACCATCTGCGGCATACATCTACCTATTGAAACAAATCTTACGATTTATGCAACAAAAAAATGCATACCTTCTGCCAGATATATCCATGAGCCTCATGGCTACAGCTATACATGGTAACATTAACAAGGTTGTCACACAGCTAATAAGAAAAGATGCAGAAGTAGAACCAAGGCCCACGTTTGAAAGAAGATACCCAACACCTGCCTGCTCAAGAATTTGAGGTGTATAGTAGAGCACCCCATTTATACCAGAGAACTGCAATGTACATAGAGGAGTTAGATGACAGTCAGATAAAGCTTTTCCCAGGTACAATTGGTTAACGATGTTCAGTGATTGGTTAATGAATAATCACCTACTCAACGAGTTGAGAATTATAAATATATCCTACTGTCTATGTATTTTCCTGACAATTTCATCGAATTTAGAAATACGGAAGTATATACTTATTTCAAACAATGACATTTTAATTGTATACAAAACAGCACAAGTGTAGAATCAATCCTGCCCTCACCAATTCATTTGTTTTGAAGAAAGGGAACTAGATAAAAAGGCATTAGTATACATGACAGGATTACTAAACAAGGCTATACATGAATAAAGCGCAGAAGGACAGTGTAAACGCACATGGAAATAAAAAACATCAGATATTGAACAGATTCACTACCTGCTGAAGAATTTGAATTCCCACACCCACAATCAGTGCATGCTTCACTCCAGGCTCAAAAAGATCACTCCAACTTGGCCTCTTTACAGCTGTTTCGGATGGATGGATCATAGCTGGTCCAACTGGCCGCTGATGCAAAAGCTCCTTGTTATAAAGGGCAGACTGACTCACTAGAGCGGAAGCCTGAACAATCTCACCATTTGTTAGTCTTGGTGCATCACCACCTGGAAGGGAAATGATAGACCCACGTCTTGATCCAGGAACGCCTTCTTCGTGTAAATATATTCTCTTGAAAACTCCATCTGTTTCAGACCATTTCCATGCTAGCTGCCATCCACCACCAATCCCTGTGTTTCCAGCAGGTTCTCCTCGCACAAGACTACCTTGCCTCATGCTACCCTGGACGGGAGCAGGCATGTCCTTATCCACACTTGTTGCTTGACGTGAGATCAATGGACTCTGCAAATTGTCATCAGAATCATCGGCAGCAGCATCAGAGACATAATCATCACCCTCTCTAGCAATGCTTTCTTCATCCCAATCTTCATTTCTAGGTTGATTTCCCCCTACACTAAACATGCTTCCGAAGTGTGGAAAAAGTGTGCTCCCGCGCATGCTTCCTGTTTCTGTGACCTTCTCGTGGACACTACCAAAGAGCTTAACTAGAGGGTCCACTAGACCACTTTGATTTGCCATGCTTCCCTGTCGAGATACAAGGCCAATGGAGCTTTGTCCAATGACAGGTTTGGCAATCCAGGACAGACCTTCTGCTGTCCCATACAATTTGATCTTCTCCTTTGTGGCTGAAGTATCCTCTGCATCACTGAATTCATTTGCTGCACCAATTATGTACTGTTCTATCTTGGTATCACCTCCAACTCCAAGACCCTCGACCAGTAAAGCCATCTCACCTGATCATTATTATAACCAAGAACAATCACCAACCAAATCATGCATGTAACAAATTAGTTGTCATAGTTGAATCAAAAGCAAGTAAACAGGAACTGATCCAATCAAATAAATGCACCTACACTAAGAGAATCTACCTGAAAACAATTGCCAGTAAACAATTGTACTACTGCTATTCAATTTAAGTTTTCAATATCATAGTGACAAATAACAAATGTTTTCATGTTGTTAATTTGAATGCTCAATAACTCAAGTTTTATTTCAAAATCACTAAATAAAGTTTTGAAAATGAACAACAGGACATCCCGCGTCAGCTGGGTTGCGTTCAGAGATGAAATGACTTCAAAACAATCCTACAGGCTCAGAATGAAGGCAGCTGAGATTCGAATTGAACTCCAAGGTAGAAAAACAAACAATAGGGTTGGTGGGGGGAGTAGGTAATTGATAAAGAAAAGGGACATAACATAACTAACCAGTGACATCTTCTCTGCCGCTAAGTCGCTGCAAAACCTTCTTGGCCTCCAGCATCCGGCCTTTACTGACAAGCCATCTTGGTGATTCAGGCAAGAAGAATAGTGTGAGTGCAAAATAAATGAGAGAGGGAATTGAAAGAACACCAAGCATGAGTCTCCAGCTTGGGGAGTTGGTGAGGGACATAGCAAACACCATACAGTAGGAAAAGAACATTCCAGCAGAGCCAGTGAACTGCGGAAGAGTATTTAGTAATCCCCTAATCTCAGGTGGAGCTGTCTCGGATATGTAAAGAGGTACCAAGGTAACTGCCAAACCAATGCCCAGCCCATCTAAAAGCCTTGCAAAGAGGAGAATATAAACATTTGGAGACCATAGCATGACGAGAGAACTAAGAAAATAAAGGAGCGAGGAGATGATCAACATAGGTCGTCGGCCTAGAAAGTCTGACAGGGGTCCGTAACAGGTGGTAACCACAGTGGCTCCAATAAGAGACATAGCCACAATTAGACCTTCTATTGTAGGTTCACTTTCTAAATTAAACTCCCTCTTTATGTACAAAATAGATCCTGCATGGCATAGCAAACACGATCAATTAGTCAAAAACAGTTCAATAATGATGAAATTTTAGACGTTATGCTCGTAATAACCACATAAAATAAAAAAATGACCTGCAATGGTGGCATTATCCCATCCTTGCAGCAAATTACCGATAGCAGCAGCGAGGGCAACAAGAACGGCACCGCTCATTTTGCACAACGTCTAGGATCCAGGCACTGAAAGATGAAATAATAGATTGAGGTGGTGTGAGGCTAAGGGGATGATGGATGGATGGATCGCAAATGAGATCCATACTCGGAAAGGTAATAAAATCACCTTGCTGGCTTGGAGTGTCAGTTTGAGTTGGATGTTTCAACTTTCAACTATAAAAATAATCTGGTACGCATAAAAGGACATGAAAGAAAAGTATAATAACATTAATTAAAATAGAAGCTACTTCTTTCTTTTGGCTGTTTTTGTAAACAAAATAATTAAGTGAAGCAATACTGATGCTCATGCTCATACTCCTACTGGGCGTAGCAGCATAGTATTAGTACCTGGACTGAACAAAACAAAACCAGTGAAGAAAATTTATTTAAGAGATTCTATTGAACCGCCCGGCTAGGGTTGCAACTCAATCTCCTCCACTCTTCCTCTCCCCATCTCGGAATTTCCTTATATTTCAAACAATCGCTATTCTATTCACATACACAAAAAAGCTAAATATTGCTCTTGCCTTTTCAATCATCACCACTGCTCCATCTCACAGAGTAGCATCCGGCAACGAAATGCTTTTTTAACGTTACATTGATTCAATGTCAAATTTAAAATAACACAATTGGCGGAATTCTGTTAACACGTTGGTTTTCTCTTCTCACTTCCCTCTTCGTGTTTTTATACTCCTTTATAAACAGAAAAACTAGTTTTGAAATTTATAATAACATTATTTTAGAACGTTACCAGGAGGATACTTCAACATTCATGTAACATTTTCAGATGTATTACTCTGTATTTTAGAATCAAATTTTCATAATGTGATTATGCATTCCATGAACTAGTTTGAAGACTACTTTTCCAAAAGGTTAAATTTGTTCGATTGTAAAAGTCATTTAAGAAGAAGAAGACAACGAAAGAAAGAAATTGAGGTGCAGGGTGCAGGGTGCAGTTAGTAATAATGGAATGCGAAAGGTATGTGTGTTATTGGGCTTTGGGCCCCGTAGAGCGAGATGCATTGAATAGAAGCGAAAAAAAAGAGAGGAAATGAAAAAGAAAGCCGCGTGATATTTAATTGAAAATTCAACGGAGAGAAGTGGGCGTAGCTGGTCAGCACTGACCTCCGATGTTTCTCGGCAGGAACGAATAGCATCACATCCTAAAATTAACAAGAAAAAAAAAATAGAAATATTTTTCCCAAACTAATTTTGTGGAGATCTGTGGGAGCAGAAACAAAGAAGTGAAAGGAAAGCGATTATCCTCTTTCCATTCGTTACCTTCTGGTTCCTTCTGGTACGCTTAACATTTTATCTCTTATTTATTTCCTTTATCTTCCTCTTCTGCCGCTGAAAATATTAGATGTTGTGTTGTGATGTTATGTGAAAATGAATTGAATATTAGCATAGATTAGCACTGCACCGCACAGGACTGGACAGGACGGGGAGTTGAAGCTGATGAGAGATCGTTGGATGAATATATAATAATTGGTTTGTTTGATGGGCAACACATGCCGCGGATCTTTGAAAGGGAAATATATTCAGGGCTTCAGCCAGCCCGAAGACCACTCCAAGCGCACCACCCTTTCTGATCGCCCCGACTCCGAACACCCCTCCTCAGCCAAACCAAATATCAATTCTGTAGAAAACAATATCATAGTCAACGACGACAACAACAACAACAACAACAACAACAATCTACCCTTCAACTCCAAGAAAGACTCCACCATGCGCCGCGGCCTCGACAACCAAGCATATTATGTCTTGGGCCATAAGACTCCCAACATTCGTGATCTGTACACTCTTGGCCGCAAATTGGGACAGGGACAATTTGGCACCACTTATTTATGTACCGAGAATTCTACCTCCATCGAATATGCCTGCAAATCCATCTCCAAAAGGAAGTTGATTTCCAAGGAGGACGTCGAGGACGTTAGGAGGGAAATTCAGATAATGCATCATTTAGCTGGTCACAGTAACATTGTCACCATCAAGGGTGCTTACGAGGATCCTCTCTATGTTCATATTGTCATGGAGCTTTGTTCTGGGGGTGAGTTGTTTGATCGCATCATCCAGAGGGGCCACTATACCGAGAGAAAGGCTGCAGAGTTGACCAAAATTATTGTTGGGGTTGTTGAGGCTTGTCATTCCCTTGGGGTCATGCATAGAGATCTCAAGCCCGAAAACTTTTTGTTGGTCAATAAAGATGATGATTTCTCTCTTAAAGCAATTGACTTCGGCCTCTCCGTTTTCTTCAAACCCGGTAACTAATATTCCTTACTCTGCTTTATCTCGCTACTTTTCTCTTTTAGAACAACATTACTTTTATTTCATTTAATATATTTGTACGCCTTATTGCATGCTTTTTTATATCTTTTAATGCTTCGGAATTTTCCAAAATCCCTGTCTTCCAATTACAATCTCCTTAACTTTTACTGCCATTCCGGTTCAGGATTTTCATTAGTTGTTTAGGGAACGCATTTTAACACTAATCAGTTTTGTTCATTTAACCTATCTACCTCAGGTCAAATTTTCACTGATGTCGTGGGCAGCCCGTACTATGTTGCTCCTGAGGTTCTCCTCAAGCATTATGGGCCTGAAGCAGATGTGTGGACAGCGGGTGTCATACTGTACATATTGCTTAGTGGTGTACCACCATTTTGGGCAGGTATATCTCAATGCCAACACTTTTTGATTTCCTGTTCTTCATCAGTGTTATCACTGAAAGTTTTGTCCTTTTGGAGTTCAGAGACCCAGCAGGGTATATTTGATGCAGTCTTGAAGGGACATATAGATTTTGACTCAGAACCTTGGCCTCTAATATCTGACAGTGGAAAAGATCTCATTAGAAAGATGCTGTGTTCTCAGCCTTCAGAACGGTTGACTGCTCATCAAGTGTTATGTATGTTCATCCTTTTTTCTACTATACTTACTATAAGCAAGGACCATCCATACATCAAAAGTACCGTCATTTTTCCTTTTTGGACTAGTGTCTAATCGCTATGGTTACTCAGTGGATGTTATTTTAGCTGTAAATTGAGGGGCCTGGGTATTGAAAGTTGCTTTCCCAGGGCTACTCAAACTCTCCAAGTCATCTTCACTATAAAGATGCATTAGGTGATTAAAGTTCCACTGACCTTGCAACATCTATTGCAGACTCACCCAGGAAGAAAGAATCCTCCGATCTAAACACGTTACTTGAATGTTGATGTTTCCCAAAAGCAAATTCCAAATTAACTACCTTTAATTTTGTAAATATTCAAACTTTGTGTTTCAATGTGTTTGTCTGAAACTCTTACTTCCTGTTACTTCTTGTGCCTGTTTAGGTCATCCTTGGATATGTGAAAATGGAGTTGCACCTGACAGGGCAATAGACCCTGCTGTTCTTTCTCGTCTCAAACAGTTTTCTGCAATGAATAAGCTAAAGAAGATGGCGTTGCGGGTAAGTAAAGCTAATTGATGAATGAATATAGCTCATACACTAGTATGAAATAGACAACGCATTCCATAGATGATATGTAAAGTGCTATTGTTGCCTTTGTGGAGTCAAGTTACTATTCTGCAATTCTTGGATGCCAATTGAACCTCATCGTATTGGGCTTACACACTAACTCTGTTTTCACTTCTCCTTCATCTATTATTGTTTTGATTGTCCAAAACTAGGTAACTTTAGTTATAATTGTTTATTATACGATTTTTAAGGTGATTGCTGAAAGTCTATCCGAAGAGGAGATTGCTGGTTTGAGAGAAATGTTTCAGGCTATGGATACCGATAACAGTGGTGCAATCACATTTGATGAACTCAAAGCTGGTCTAAGAAGATATGGGTCTACCCTTAAAGATATAGAAATACGTGATCTAATGGAAGCGGTAGGTGATTGGTTCGTGTTTACTTCCATTTTTATTTAGTTATTCTTTTTCGAATGTAATATTTTAAATTTCCTTATATTTCCTTTTTGTATTCTTTGTCATTCACTCTGTTGTGTGATTCTTCTCAATGGACCAGACCATCTTACAAAATTGTTTAGAAGGTTTGAAAAATAGGTAACATTTTAAAAAATATTTTATAGTGTATGAAATAAATAAATAAATCATATTAATATATTACTGGTAAACCGTGTAATATATATTATTATATGTGTAAATGACAAATAAATAGTCTACCAAATTTGGTCAAATGACATTCTTGAAGCCACAAGGGTTACCTACTTAGTTGAATGGGTTTAAAAGCCTAAGCATGCGTTGTTTGATAAATAGACTAGGCGGCCACTAGGACAAAGAAAGGCTAAGCGGTAGACCCCTCGATGGCTGCTTGGCGTGTTCCTACCCCTACCTATTGCGATAAAAGGTTCCTCCTCAATAAACCCGTCTGGAAACCCACAACCTCCTATAGACTATATCCTTGGTCTGAGCAGCAGTTATTAACAGTATTGATTTGCTACAGATTCGTAAACCCCAGCATCTTTCCCTTTCTTTGCGGCAATCTTTTTGGAATTTTTGAATAGCACTGGGTAAGCCCTTGACATAGGTTTGAATACTTCAGCATTTTTTTATGGTTTAAATTTTTGGCAAGAGTAGAGGCAGGAGGCTGAAATGCCGCTGTACTGAGCTTTTCTATTCATTGGTGCATTTGCCTAGAGCTTAATGTACATAGACATCCCTTCCTCAGAATTTTATTTGGAATTATGTTCTTGATCACTCTGTTGTGTTCTGCCCAAGATTTTTTTAAGGGTATAGCCGTATCTAGTATGCAAAAGGGTTGGGCTTTTCTAATGCATTCTTAATTTCCTTTTCATGTGTGTTGTACTTCTTTATTTTAGTTTAGCGTTTCTTAACTCTTGAAGGACCTCATCCTCCCCCCTTTTGTATTTTTTTTCTCACCTATTTAATAAAAATAAAATAACAAACAGATACAATTGATCTGGTAAAAGATTTTGACTCGCTGCCTACTTATGTAGGTTACAAGGGTTCTTTATTTGGTGGGATCTTGTTACTTCGAAAGTAGGTTTGACATTGGGTATTACATTAGTGAAGCATGTTTAAAATGTGATGCTACAGCGAACCAGCCGCTAATCAGTCATCTTTTACATGCATGATTCCATTTTTCTTTGAGCTGCATCTTCTGTTCATGTTAAATAAATAATCTTTGATCTTTTTCCATCCAGCTAAAATGTTTGAGCTATTTCAGGCTGATGTGGACAAAAGTGGAACCATAGATTATGGGGAGTTTATTGCTGCAACAGTTCATCTCAACAAACTAGAGCGTGAAGAACATCTTATCGCAGCATTCCGATATTTTGATAAGGATGGTAGTGGTTATATTACAGTTGATGAACTTCAACAAGCTTGTGCAGAACATAACATGACTGATGCTTTTCTTGAAGATATTATTAGAGAAGTTGATCAAGATAATGTAAGTTGTTTTGACCCGTGCTACACTTACATGGGAAATCAGTGTAGGCTGTTAGAAGTTACTGTCACAAGATCTTCCTGTATAGTATTATATATCCCCGTGAAAAGACTGCACTTTTTTAGTCTTCAAATTTTCTAATACTGCATTAACGGTAGCAGGGAAGGGAATAGAATAGAAACCACAAATTAGCTGTTATTGAGGGCAGCCTGTGAGGAATTGTGATCAACACAGGTTGAGGATGCATTGTAATAACCTGCCCAAATGGCAGGTGGGGGCAGGAAACAGATTTGGTTTAACGGAAAGGGGAGAGAGAGAGAGAGAGAGAGAGAGAGAGAGAGAGAGGGAGGGAGAAGATAGGCAAATTATGAGTGAGGTTGGGATAGGCGGTAGTGAGCCCCTCCATGTGCCTGCAGTATCTCTACATTTATTTTTCTGTTTTCTGATTTTTTTTTTCTTCTATATTCTTGTATGAATTCCCTTCTGCGAATGATATCTTGATATAAACTGTGGAAAAGGGCATTTTTAGATGTTTTCCTTCAATATGTTTTCAGGTTCCTATCTCGGTAATAGGGTTTGGCACCATGCAGAAGTATGTAGTAGGCACTTAGGAACCATGCTTAATCTATTCATTAAAGGTTTTTTTATTGAAAATGTTGTATTCACAAAAAACAATTAATTAATCAAAACTAGATCATACCTTAAATACACTTTAAATATCAAATACCTGAATTCTAATAATTTGACGAGTGTGAGTCTCTGTTGCATGAAAATATTTAATTGAATTAAGTTCCTGCATCCTCCTCTTGTGTAATTATGCTTCATGATTATGTTTATATCTTTTGTTTTAGGATGGAAGGATTGATTATGGTGAATTTGCTGCCATGATGCAAAAAGGCAATGCTGGAATTGGTAGGAGGACTATGCGCAACAGTCTGAATTTAAGCATGAGAGATGCACCAAGTTCTCAATAGCTTTCGATTGTGCTCATTATGTACAGGTAATTTTGGATTTGGGTAAAATAGTACTTCATCAACTGTATATGCCCACTTTATATACTTATGAAATTTTAAGATGTTAAAGGTCAAAATGCATCATAGATGGTATATCCAATCTTCTCCAACATCTAAGTTCTAATAATATGTGGTAGACAATCTCTAGTGGTTGGAATAGACATATAGGCAATAGATGTTAGTCCCTCGCCATGAAGTTAAAGTTTCGCCTCTTTGATACACAAGAAGTCATCATGAACCCAAAATGATTTGAGTGATGCTCAGCTATCACTTTGTGACATTTCAAGCATTCTTTAACAATTTATGTGGGTCTCATTTCTATATGTACCCAACATTTTGAAGTGATCTGCTCACATTCTGGCATCAACGACCGTAAAGCATCCTGTGTAGATGGCTGTTGAACTGCCCCAGATTCTGTTGTTCCAGTAACCAAACTAGTCATTGACCTGGTTGAAGTGTAGGGTCAATGGTTAAACCCGTTGGGTGGTCTACCTTAAAAGAATGAAAATATATATGTCTAACATAATATTTTGAAGTGTTGGGTCAATGGTTAGACCATTGGGTGGTCTAACTTAAAAGAATAAAAATGTATTTCAAACATAATATTTTGACAAATTCAACCTAAATTTAAAAACTTTTATCATGATAAAGTATTAATGTATGAAATAACAAATAAATTTCATAACATTGTGATACCAGTATCCAAAGTTAAGTTATTAATAAGAACATAAATCCATAAACAAAAAGTGAACAATACAACACCATAGACAATATATCTCTATATATAAATTCAATTCAGACCAAGTCATTGGGTTTTCGGGTGGACACTGCCAGGACAAATCGGGTTGCACCTGGTCGAGTGCATTTCTAGTATGATCATCAACCAGACCCTCTGAGTCCTGATTGAATCAACTGGGTTGGTCCCAATTTCATAACTGTGGTTGTATCTGCTTATTAATTGGCAGATACTTCGATACTTGGTTTTATTCTTCTATTGTTTGCCAAGTAAACCATTAATATGGTTCTCTAACTATCATTATCTCTCCTACTCCATCGTTAAAGTATAAAAAAATAATAATTAGTCCCTAAAATTTGGTGAAATCTATCCCGTTGGTCTCTGTTAATAAAACCATTTTAAAGTTTATTATGTTTAGACTATTTTAAACGTGAGTAGGTATCCTTTATAATTCTCAGCCTCAAATTTACCATCTCAAATTTCAATCATTATAAAGATGAGGAACAAAGACAATATTGGATGATAAGGGTGAAACTATAGTTGCAAAGTTATCAAAGTGCAAAAAACTATTTTGCTGAGGAATTCATCTTGTATATTTGCTTTACTTTCTGCTATTTTTCAATGGTCTTCCTTTTTGCCATACACAATTATTTTGTTCTGATAGTTCGAAATTTCATAAACCAAAAATTGGATTATTATCGGTCACTAAAACCAGGTGTTTCAAATCATCCCTAGTTCGTATCTCTTGTCTTAAACAATTAACAACAGAAAAGTCAATTAACAGAGCATGCTTATACTTGTCACAACAAAATAAAATTTTAAGCCAAGCAATGTCTTTTCTCTCTTTAGACAAGATAATGCAAGCTAAGGGCCCTAATTGGTGAATGAGTGTTGCTTCTTATTCCAAGGGACCAGATTGATGTAATTTTATTTAGAAAAGGGATTAAATATATGCATTATTTAAACAAAAAGGCAGGTTCTACTCATGTTTAAAACGGTCCAACCTTTTGAAAATAGTTTCATTAATAGTGGGACTAATGAGATAAATGTCACAATTTTTTAGGGACTTGTTAATAATTTTCAATACTTGAAGGACTAAGCTAGAGAGAATGATACTTTGACGACCAAATTGATAGTTTACTCAATGTTTACCTGTGAAATCTATTGAAAAAGATTATTCATTATTGGATTCTTGCACCCCTGGAGAGGGTAATGACTATTTGGAATACATGTTAGAATCATACTGTTAACTCACTGGACATCGGGGTCCTCTATGGAAACAGTGGGTTGGATTAATGGTTGATGACCAGAGAACACTGCAAAAAGGTAAAATCAGTATCCCAAGACAAATATAAATTTTCTTCCAGTCTATTCCAGGATGTTTATTAGTAACAGTTTGTCTGCATTTATCGCTCAAGAGGTTCTTGTGATCATCTTAGTGGTAACATAATTTTTAAAACAAGCTTGTCTCTGTTCAGTCCTTTTGTTTTGATCATTTTCTTCAATTAGTCAATACCATGAAAGATAATGGATGACATTTTTTTCCTATCATTTCTTGTTAGATCCCACCACTTTAATTTATCCCGCTCAATTTAAGGCTTCCTTTCAGTTAATCTTCAGCTAGTGGACCTGCTGCTTACAATAGCGCCTTTTATGTTGTTGGTGTTTAGAGATATTTACCAAGAATGAAAGGTTGATAATGTTATTATGAATATAGATGGAAAGAACAAATTTAGATTCTGTGTGGGGTAAGAGCATGAGGGGGTGGTTTCACACCTCTCAAGTTACAGATGCACTAAGAATAAAGTGTGGAATTATTATTGGAAAATCAATTATTGATGACAAAATACATATACATGAACAACAATTATGAAGTTAAAATCTTCACTGTTGATTTTCTATCAATGGTTATAACTTCACCTTCTCCCTTTATATAATTGCACTTTTTACATTAGAGAAGTCAAATCCTACGAATTTACTATCTTCTGACTATCTATTAATAAGATTTATCAGTCGTTGATTTTATTAGTTGATAAACTAACATAATTATGTATCGGGGAAGGCTCTGAAATAAAAGATGATGAAATAAAACAAACAATCTTATAGTATTTCATTTCTAACTTTTTGGGTGTGAGGTTGGTCGTGTTTGAAATTTGAATTTGAAAATATATCAAGTTTTCTTTCTACAAAGAAAGTGATGGAGCTAAGATGCAAGTGCAAGTATGTTTAATAGATGTGCATGTGTGGGAAATAGAATGTCCTAGCACTATAGTGCTACCTGGTCTATAACTTAAGCAATATATTGGTGTATGATTCCTGATGAAAAATAAATCATTTTGAGGTTTTAGGCTGGCCAGAGTTATGGAATTATAAATTGAAGAAGGCAGCTTATTATCATACATTTGGAGGTGTACATGAGCCAACTGGCTAATGAACCTCTTTCAATTTTATATATGTTAGTAGTAGTAGTAGTACTAGTTATATAAAGACATGTAGCCAAAAGGCCAAACTTTGGGGTGGGAAGTGAAGCTCTCCCATATATTTAAATACATATTTGTAAATAAATATTGTTCCAATCTTAAATCTTGGTTTTTCTTCTTGTTAAAGGTCTAAATTTCTTCTGTTGAATAATGCATCCAGAGTTGTCTCTGGAAGTAAGCAGCAAGTACTTTCCAACAAGATTCTTGCATGGCAGTTTATGTCCTGGCAGTTTGCTAACCGAGTTTAGCTGAATAGCTGTTGACTTCGTATTAATCTGAATGTTAACGTCACTCTTGTATTCTGGTATACAAATATGGCAGGTTGTATGCAGCGAAGCCAGAAAGAGAAAAATTATGGATAAATCTTTACAAAAAAAAATGTGCATATTCTGCTGACCGGTCCAATCCATGAAGAACACAATCAGTGGGTGCTCTCGTACGAGCACTCATCAAGTGTTACATTTATGTGCTGTATGAGTGCAAATTGTTTCTCTTTGTAAACCTCGGTGTTTGGTGTTGCAGCTCTTTCAAGTTGGTCCTATTCATGTGCTTTCATGTAGGGGCATTTTGTCTATAGTTTAAGTAGAAGGATTTTGACTTTCAGGTTCTTGATTTCACGGATGTAAAGTTTCACACGCATGACATGATGTATTGGGCGAACTAGTAGCCTCTGGATTATGTCGGAGAACATGCATTGTGTTAAAGTGACAGTGGAAGTATATTATTTCCCAGCTGGCTTCTCTTTTCCTAAACAAATATTATTCTGTTTTTTTATTGCTTAAAACTTACTTTGAATTAAGATCAGAATAAAAAGCTTTAGGTATAATTCTTAAAAAATCAATGATATTTTGATCAAAGATTGTGTTTGGATTTGAAAATTAATTTGGAGGAGTGAAAATGAGTGGATTTGAAGAGGAAAAAAAAAAGTATGATTGTTTAGAATAAAGGAAAGTTAGTTAAAAAAAAGATAAATGTAAAGAAAGTTTGGGAGTGTTATTGATTTGGTAGATTAAAAAAATATTTTAATTGATAAAATAAAAAAAGTTATTTAAAATAAAATGTAATTAGTATAAATTATATTAAAATGGATTATGAGTTATTACTAAAATAACAAAATATAAATATATAAAATTATTTTTAAAAAATATAATTGATGAAAATTAATTTTAAATATATTTTGGGTGATTATTTTAAAAAGTGTGTTAAGAAAATTAAAACATTTTTTTTACAATTATAAATAGAAAATTAGTTGAATAGTCCTTAAAAAAATATGTTTTTAAGCTTTAGTATAAACAAATAATTAAAAACTAAAAATTTTCATTTATTTTAAATATGTTTTTGTATATTATTATTAAAAATAATTTGTTTGTTACATTTGAATTAAATTACATTTAAAAAAAAAACTAAATTACATTTTAATAATATTACGTACAAATTTACCTAAAATTAAAAATAATTATAAAATATTGAAATTATTTATTTAAATTTTAAAATAACATTAGTTTTTATATATTTTAAAATACAAAATGAATCATGCAAAATTTATATAAAAAAGTAGAATACAATTTTGATATTTAAAAAAATAATCTATGTAATTTATGTGTATATCATGGATGCGTTTGCAGAGTAATTCCTTAATTCACAAGTTATGAATAAAAAAAGAATTCAATGCACATGATGGAATAAAATTTTTTTTTTTTAATAATATAAATTAATAATATATTGAGTGGTGATATTTTGATAACTAGAAACTATATAATATTTCAAACAACTCATTTTTATTAATATAATAATCTATAAAATGATTTAATAAAAATAAAGTAAAACTATTATTATAATATTAAAAGAGAATTATTTATAAGAGTTATATAGATTTAGATACTTATTTACGTCTTTGATCTTATGTCTCTCTTTATGTATTTATCTTAAGGCATAATTTTAGAAACAACCACCTTTAATATGAGCCAACCACCATCCATCTTCAAAAATAATTATTTATATATTTATCTGTGACGCTCTCCATGACACTGTAATCGGTGACAGAGCTGAACGTATTTGATATGTGTGTCAAGTTTTATATTGAACAGATAACATCCAATTGTTCTTGCAATAATACTTGTGGTTTAACGGAGGTTGAGAATCGATTATGGTTTAATGGAGAATCGATTTTTCATATATTTAAAGAAAACGAAAATAGATTTTTATTTCATCACCTATAAGAGAATTAATTCTCTATGAATTGAGATTCAGTTCTCTCATCTAGAATTGATTATCTTCACCTCCTTCGACCATTTTTAGCCACTCTCGACCACTTTCTGTGCAAAAGCACACCCCAAACTACCATTACAAACTCCCATTCACACACAAATGTCCAATAATATACAATTATGATCATCTCCTCTCTCATATTTAATGCAACTTCAGGCTGAGATGATAACAATATATAGTTACATGCATTGCATCTGCAAGATTCTGTATCTTGAAAGGGATACATGCATAGTCACTAACAAATTCCCTACTATGTATTTGGATACATGCAAAATCACGTAAAGATCCATACAACGTTGTCATATAATTTGATACATTCAAGATATATAAATGATAATTTTATAAGACATGCTCGTTAGAATGTAATGAACTTATAAATCAATTCAACTTATCATATATTCGAGTCGAGTTGATTTAAAAAAATAAATATTTTTTAATAATAAGTTAAAGCGAGTTCAACTTATTTACTCATGATTAAATAATTTTTAGTTTACTAATTTTTTTAATATTTAATATTATAATTTTTTTATATTATGTATTATTGTAAATTCATGTAAAAAAATATTTGAGTAAATCAACTCACTTATCTGTTTATATTAATAAGTCCATTCACCTAATTTATTTATTTTAATAATTTAAAAAATTAAAAATAATTAAGTAGGTCATCTCATGTAATCCACTTACTGATGAATAGAATTGTACAACAAAATTTTTGTTATTAAACAAAAAATAAATCAAGTTAAATTCGATATTAATCAAATTAACTCACCGTCACACCCTCACACATACGATGTTGCATCTTATTAAACAATAAAATCCCATATCAGAATGTTGAACGCATACAAATTATTTTCAAATAATCAACTGATACTTTTTATGAATTTAAGAAATATTCAATGGGTATCTGCTATTAATATTGAATCGTATATATATATATATATATATATACCAAATGTTCAGTGAATGAACATTTCCAAGTCTCCATTTCATACCTTAACCAATACACGTGAAGCATAAATACTATGTCATGTAGAACTTGGATTATGCCCTAAATTAGGATATCCCAAAAAAATCCCCATGAGGGAAATATTTTGCTTTGGGTATTTTTGCTGCTATAGTATTCTTGATTTGTTTGAAGTTTCCAACCTTGTGTTCCTGGTAAGGTTAGGTTGAATCCATGGAAATACATTAAATTGTATTTGAATATATCATAAATTTGATATATAAAGTGGAAAAAAAAATGTACAGACAGTGAGATATGTAACTTGAACCCATTCCAATTTTTTCCCATTGGAGAAATCCATATTCATTGGTAACAATGAAAAAAAAATAAAAAAATCGTACACACGTTCCATAGGATTCTTAAATGGAACAGTCCGGTCCTTGTCAAGTAGGAAAACAAAAGTGACATATGTCTCTGATCAATATTTTAAAATAAATTATAGTTTTTTTTTCTGCAACTTCTTTTTAGGATAACGGATACTTGATTAAAAAAATTGTAATATATTTATATAAAAAATTTATAATAAATAAATAAATTAATTAAAAATATATTTTTAAAATTCAAATATATTAATAAATTGAATTTTATCATATATAAATTATTAAACGAATAATTCACTCTAAAAAATGAATTAAAAAATTATTATTTGTTTTCATAGTTAAGAATTACTGGATTACAAATTATTTTATTTGCCATGAACAATCTTGATTACAAATTAAAGGTCTATAATTGAAAACGGTAACTGTTGTTTAGTCACAAAATTATAAAATGTATTAATTTTTTAAACGAGCTTATGTTATAATTTAAACATTTGCAGATATACAACCTAACAGTAACTATTTATTTAGTTATATTTTAAACAACAAGCGATCCATTAAAATAAATTGATATGATAAATCATTATGAAATTGTGTAAACTTAATATACTTTATTAAAAAGTTAAAATCCATCTTATGCAAATTTCATTCTTCATAAAATATCATTAAGTGTATTATTTTATTAAATTTTATACTTATGTCTATTTTTTTATATTTTAGAAAATATATTTTTCAATAAAATATATTTTTATATAATAAACATAATAAACATTTATGTTTAATATCATTAAAATATTTTATTTAATTGTTATATAATATCAATTATTTTAAGGAAATTTTAATAGTAACTTATGAAAAAATAGTTAATTTTATATCAAATAAACTATTAAATAATTTGTATACTGACATGATTTTAATATCATAAAAATTTGATTTTATAGAAAATCATAATAAATCATCATGGTAGTGAAGTTTTTCTTTAATAAATATTGAATAATGCGTGAATGAATTTTATTTATAATTATTATATGAAAATATTTGATTTTATATTTTTAAAAATATATATATTTTATGCATCTTCTCTTTCTAACTAAATTAATATAAAAAAATTCTAAAACTTTTTTTACCATACTAAATACCTTTATTTCTTTATTATAATATAAAAAAAAGCATAAAAATACACTTACAATATATCATCTTACTAAGCATATTAATAATATTGAGGATTTAATTATATTTATTATTCTGCAAAAGTAAAAGGAGAAAATAAATAGTGTACCGACACAAAGGAAGGTAGGGAATGTGGTGTTGGTTGGTTGGGTGGTACAGTGTTGGAACAGTGGGAGAGAGCTTAAGCTTATACTTATATTATAAAGCAATATAAATACGATAGATATAGTAGTATATCTTTATGTCATGACTGCTACGTAAAACTGCATCACCGACACAACAAGTTTGATAGAAATGGTGGAGAAATGAAATTTCACAACAATGAAAATTTGACAATTATAATGAATCCACCCATCATCATGCATTCTTAGGAATTACCCCGCCATGGCAGGGGATTTTTCTTCCAAACATTCATCAAAATGAGTGTTGCAATTCATACAAACAAAAGTGTACATTTTTTATTTCAGGAATAGAGAAATTGCAATTGCAACTAAGAATAAGATATTTAGTTTAGGCAATTTTATGAATAGCATAGGAAGGCAAGGCAAGACACAAAATAGATAGATTATAGAATGAATATATGGCAATTATACATGCAAGTAATTAATTGCGTACAGACTTAGTACTACGATGGTGGAAAGGACAATCAACAATGATGAAACATGAAGAATATAATCTTACATTTTAGGGAGAAGAATTGTAGAAGAAGCAAGGCTTAGAGATAGTAAGATACATTTGTAGGGTGGATCTGAATGAATTATTGGAAGGAGGAGGAGTGTGGAGATGCGGAGTAGGTTTGAGGAAGGGTGGCGTGATCAGAAGTGATGAATCGTCTGATCTCAGAGCGCATCTTATAGATAACATGTCTCCAAGTGCCCTTGCTGTGGGAGCCAAGGAGCTTGGTTTCCTGGTCGTTCATTTCGAGATCCGAAGCAAAGATCGGCTTCCTAGAGAGGATCCAAGCCCAGCTCCAGTCCCACCATTTCCTTATAGAGGTGCCCGCATAGTCGCCCACGGATGAGAGGGACTTGGATCTGGGAAACGACCAATACGATGCAGCTCCGCCTACCACTGGAGACCCCTGGATCTTGAGAGACAGAGAGGAAAGACGTCTGCGAAGGCCTCCTTCATTTTGGTTTGAGTTTGAGTCTGAACGCGACACTGGAAGCGATGCCTTTCTACTGCCAAAGAAGCTCCCATTCTCACCCACACCCATGGAGCAGCTTTTCTTCTTCTTTTTCTTTTTCTCTCTCTGCAATTTTTATGTTCCCCCTCTGCTGCTGAATACTAAGTTTTGATATTAAGTGGACAAAATCATATCATAAAATAAATAAATAATTAAAAAGCACCATGTGAGGAGAAACTAGAGTGGTAAAATGGAACGTTCACACACAGCTCTACCACAGGCTGTTTTATTCCTTTGGTAGGGTCAGTGATTGGGCATTGGCTTGTGTTGGGTGATGTGTTGCTATTTTAGTTGTTCTCTTCTTTCTTTCTTGGACTTTCGAGTTGTCTCTCGCATTTAGTCCAATCCAACTACGCTTCCCTGAGGTGTTTTTATTCTCAAGTTAATACGAATTAGATCCAGATATGATGATAGCAGTAAAAATGCTTGTTCATTTGTTGCCACTTCCCCATACAATTGTCGTCTTTTCTCTCGTCTGTTTGTTTGTTTTGTTTGAAGGGATCCTTTCCACAATCTCTCTGTAAATAATTAATTTTAGGAAAATTAAATTAAATGCTGCCACTTACATGCATTTACTTTGTTCATAATCATCAATGAGAATTGGGTTCTTGATTGACTTTACAAAATTTAAATCAATCAATTCCAGTTTAAAACACATCCTTCATTAGTTACAATTTCATTACAATTATTTTAAAAATATTTTGTAGTATTAATTACTTAAAATTTAGTTTCTCAGATAACTTAACTTATCATTTGTATTATATATATATTTCTAATCTTGCAGTAATTTTAATAAATATAATATGATATATTATAAATATTCACTTACAGTTATCATAATAAGAAAAATATATAAAAAAGAATTTCCTACCAAATATTGCTTAAAAAAATTATGAACATCATGTATCAATTATTAAAAAAAAAGTTAAGATTAAAAGAAAATTCAGCAACAAATTTTATTATAATTATTCAACATAAAATTTAGTTGTTATAAGAATGAAATGTAGTCACATACTTAAATTATATATATATATATATATATATATATATTAAATTAATAAAATAATATTTTTATAATATAATAAATATATTATAAATTTATTAATATTAATAATTACAAAAATATTAAATTATTATTGTGATAATCATAAATTATAATACATTTTATAGATATAAAATATATTAGAATATAAAAATTTAGTAAAATAAAGTAATTATTATTTAAAGTTAGTATAACTAATGTAAAATAAAAAAATAAATTTAAAAGAAATAAAAGTTTTGATTTTTTTAACTAAAATCGATTTAATTGAAATTTTTTTTTTCAATTTTATTAGTTTTATATCAATTTTTTATTTTATAATGATTTAATTAAAATCTTATTATTTAAAATAACATAATACTAGTTTTTTTTCATTTGATTTTCAAAATAATAATATTTATAAAATAACCTCTTATGTTTTGCCAATTTTTTTACTATCTTAAAGCTAATTTTTCAACTTTATCTACAACTGATACAATACATATTAACATTTCTACCTCATAATTTCGTTATATAATTTTTAATAAAAAATACTTAAATTAAAAATATAAATGAAATAAAAAGAAAAAATAAATAAACTATGAATGTATCAAAAAAATATATCTCTTTTATTTTTAAGTGAGAGGTCTATTCAGTTTTTTTTTCTTAGAGAAAATGACATTCTCTATGTTTCAAATGTAAGTGTTAAAGTGCTAATCATGCAAATGTGTTTGTTCTGTTTAAATGAAGCTTAATAAAACCATATGAACATTACTAACTATATTTTCTTATCATACTTTTCATACATTAATTGAAATATCTTCTTAATTATATTTAGTTTTATTTACTTACATTACCCAAATTATTGAAGTATTGTTGAATACTTATAATAAAATTAATAGTTATAAAGATGTTGGCCTTAATAATTAAGGTGTTAAAAAAAACTATTTTTTTGTTTACAATAGAAAAAAAAATCAAAATGTGATAAACAAGACTCAATCAGACCATTTTTTTTTCTCTTTACTACTTTAAAAAAATTATATTAAAATTTAAAAGAATATATATTTTTTTAAATTGAAGCCCTAATGAAATGTAATACATTGTATGTTTTAATTGACTAATACTTTTAACTTTTTAAAATATAATTATTATTTTATCAAAAAATTTAATCATTCATCCAATTAAAAACTAAAACATATAAAAAATTAATTGGATAAAATATGTTTCTATATAATTATTATAAATATTTGTGTTTAATGTAATTAAATATTTTATCTTATTTTTATATAATATTAAATAGTGTTACGTTTTTAATATTATAGATTATAAAATTAGTTTTATATCTTTTAACTACTTATAACTTTATTGTTTTAATTAAAAAAATCATAAAAAATGATAACTAATAATAAATATTTATTATCAAAGTCTTTATTTTTTTAATAAATTTTAAATAATATATTATTTTTACATTTTGACATTTAAATTTTTTATGTGACAATTTTTTTAATAATGATAATTAAAAACTTAATTATTAAAAATAATAATAATTATTATTATTCATTTCAATTTACATCAATTTCATTTAGTTATTTTTATCATTTTAATCAAACTAAATAATTTTTATGTTTGGTATTGTTTATTTATTTAACTTTTGTTATGAAAATTTTAAGTAATTGTTTTATTTTTTTTAATTTTTTAACCATAACATTGTTATGATTTTTTTAACAGTATGTTTGATATGTTTGAGATTTATTGATGTTAATGAGATGTAAATGTATGTATTAATAATTATATCGAAAACAAAAAAAATTACGACCTACTATATATTATTATTTATTTTTTATAAATATAAACTTTATCATTTTAGTCTTAATTTGTAATGTAAAATTGTACATATGTTTTTAATTTTTATTTGTTTTTCATTTTACTTTTTTGTTTTCACTTATTATAATGTGAAATTAATATGTTAAACATTTTTTTAAAATTATATTACTTATATTAATAATTATGCATAATATAATATTATTTTTTTAAATGGTCAACTTGTTAGACTTTTTTATGATATTAGCAGACTTTTAAAAAGCCTAAATTTAACTTTTTACAAAGTTTTGCCAAGTAGGAAAATTAAGATTTATATTTTAAAATATTATTCACACTTTAAAACTTATTCATATGATATGCATGAATATTTATTTAAGAATTATTACAAATTTTTTTATATAGCGTGTGTTTACAATATTCATATTGTATACTTGTTAATATTTTTTTTACTAAATTAATAAATAAATTTAGTTCATATACCAAGAGGAGGAACAGAATATACTAATATTTAGATTATTACTATAGATACGTGGGAAAAATAATAAACTATAATCAATTAATTATTATAATTTATATTAGTTTTTATATTATTTTAATCTTTGACAATTATTTGTCATTTTTTATTGAATATATTATTTTAAACTTTCTTTGTTCACAAGTTCTATTATTTTTATTGAAGACAGGGAATTATTAACTATCTACTCTTTTATCACAAGTATTTTGGTTTATTATATGTTTAAAATTGTATTTATTTATAATAATAAATAAATTTTTAATTATTTTCAACAATAACACAATTTAATTTTTTTGATCTCGTATAATTCCCTAAACCCTATAATTTATCGTAATATTAACTTTTGTCAGACAAAATTTTACAAAATGAGTTAAAAGTACCTTTCACATTAAAAAGATAAAATTATAAAATATTTGTTTTCTTCTTTTTTAAATATAATTTTTTTAATTCCGTTAAACCCATTTCATTTTTATAAAAATTTAAATAAAAAAATTCCAATAAAAAGCCATTATATTCTTACAAAATCTTTTAAAAATTTACGTAATTTTGTTTATGTAAATAGTACTTCAAAATTACAGTTCCTAAGGCAAAGTTTTATGCGTGGCAGAGGGACAGGAAAGAGAGCGTAGGCTTATCAATTAAGACTTGGTGAGCAGCGGAGACGAGATCTGTTGGCTTGGCTGAGGTTGGTTGCATCCAGGATTAGGAAAGTAAGAGTTTAGAATTTGAACTCTGTTTTTCCAATGCACAGAAGAGTATAGCGTAGATCTCTGTGATATAGGCAAAATAAATGGAATACAGGAAAATCAAAGGCGAGGTGAGGTGACTGATTTGATGAAGATTTAGTTAGCATATTTCTTCCATCAACTGATTGGTTTCTTCAATTAATGATGATTTTGGTTTGATGCATTGTTGTAGGATGAAGTTAGGGATGAAGCCGTTGAAGATGTTGAAAAATCATTTTTGCTTTCAGGTACCGTTGTTCTTTCTAATCGCTCTTCTAATGCAAAATCCATTTCGTGATTCCACTAACCTTCTCTCCACTTCCAGTCCCAGATAACAATTTGACTTCCGGGGGAGAAACCAAGATAGACCTCCACAGGACCAAAGCAAAGTGGAAACGCAAGTATGACAATTGACACATAATAAGTGAATACTTGTTTGAATTTTTAATTAATTATTATCCCTGCTGGTATAGGTCCGCTGTTACACTTGCACTGACTATTCTTACTAGTTCACAAGCCATTCTAATAGTTTGGTCCAAGAGAGCTGGCAAGTATGAGTATAGTGTCACTACTGCTAACTTTATGGTGAGGATATTCAACATCCTCGTATCTATTTCTGTTAATTCTCTTTTACTTCTTTATCTTTCTTACAGTGATAATCTTCAAAACTTATTATTTTATTTTGATTTGATTACTCTTTTGGTTATAGGTGGAGACTTTAAAATGTGCTATATCCCTGGTGGCCTTGGGAAGAATATGGAAAAAAGATGGTGTCAATGAGGACAACAGGTGATCGTTGATCTCAAGTTTTTTTATTTAGTTCTTAAATACTACTATGCCTAAACTATTATGCAATGGGGAGCAAGTCAGGGAATATATTAACTCTTAACAATGCATTGCATCTTTATTTTTGTTTGTGAAGATTTATAAATCCAATCTTTTGGATACTTTTGGAACTGGATTAATTTGACTTAAAATTGCACTTGTAAATTCTTGAGCTTTTTTATTCCCCGATGAAATAAACTTTGGATGGCTAATTCATAGGAACAAAAAAGTAGCTGTGTACACCATTTGAATGTTTTGTACTAGGTAATCAAAACATATGGCTATAGATCGTACGAGGTAAATTTTGAAACCAAAAACTGTCTTAATGGGAATTTGAACTGTATTCCCCATGACTACCCCATCACTATTTTTGATTCTTTAATTTTGAAAATAGACAAAAATTCTTTTATATTGTATTATTTTATGTGTATGTGTTGGGGGGAGGGTCTGAACAGCGTTCTTTTGTAAAAGTGTTTACGTATTTGCAGCTTCATCTTTTTCCCTTCCTGGTGTTTTATGTAAAATGAATTTAAATAACCTGATGTGTATTTTCCCTTGGAACTAGGTTGACTACAACCTTGGATGAAGTCATTGTGTATCCTATACCAGCAGCACTTTACCTTGTAAAAAATTTGCTTCAGGTTGGTTATGGATGGTTATGTTTATTATGGTGGCAATGAGAGTGTTCTACAACTTTGTTATTTCAACTGATACGATAATCCTTCTGAAATATGATTGTATTTTCTTTTCAATTTTATGGCAGTATTACATCTTTGCATATGTAGATGCCCCAGGCTATCAAATATTAAAGAACTTAAATATTATCAGTACAGGTGTCCTATACAGAATTATACTTAAGAAAAGGTAAGTCTCTTGTTCTCGATTCTTAAAATGCAAAAAGGAAAGAATAGAGAAAGATTGTAGTCAATTCTTCTTTCATTATGAGAATTGTAGTGAAGGATTGATGCAAGTCACATCCTCTGTATGCCTAACTTTTATGTGGACAAAAACGAGCAGGAAAAGCCCTCTTCTTCCATCTCACTTTTTCTTGTTTTATTGCTCATTGTGTAATGAAATGTTCTACAAACATAGTTACTTCATTATTATTTAGTTTGGATATTTAATTATTATAAGCCTAATGATTGAGAAAGGTTATTTAGATGGACTAATTACATCACCAAAATTCATGGTTCTCGAATCTGTTTGGCATTATCCTCTTGTTACATTTCAGGTTAAGTGAGATTCAGTGGGCTGCTTTTGTTCTACTCACTGCTGGGTGCACTACTGCTCAGTTGAATTCAAAGTAAGAATAGTCAAGCCTGAGATGTGGCCATCACTTGGGTATTTGTATGTTCCCATAACTGTTGTATAGATGTTCTCTAGTAATAAACGTGTTCATAAAATTTGTATGTACAAGTTATGAGATAACAAACGGAGGAATCATAAATGATAGGCTAGTAATTTAGCAAGTGTGACTGCTAAAAAATGTGTTATATTGTAGTTGGGATCAAAGCATACACCTGGCGTTTTGTTTATATATTTTTTCAAGAAGTTTAATGTTCTTGACATTTGGTTTATATATTTTTTCAAGAAGTTTAATGTTCTTGACATTTGGTTCTGGGAGGACTATTGCATAGGGGCATTCTCTCTTTGGGATACTTACCCCTCGTCTCTATCATTTCATGGTGGAAAGCAGTAAAAAGGTAAGGTTTAGACCTGTGACGGGTAAGGGTTTCTTTTTCTATAATAGACGAAAGAGAAGAGAGATGGGGTTTGTGGTTTGTTATGGTTTGAGAAGAGGAATGTGAGCTTGGAAAGGAGGAGAGGACAATGAGTTAACTTGAGAAATCTGGTAGCTTAAGGAGGCTTCACAGTTCTCATGCCTGGTGTATAGAGAAACTGCCAACAATTGTATTTTGCCAGAAAAATACATTGACAGAGAAGCTTGGAGTTTGTTGCTATTTATTTTTTCATTGTTGCTTAATTCATTCCACTGATTTTGATCGGATGAGGTTTTTAAATTATTAATTCCATCATCTTCCATTTTCTTCCCCTTATGGTTCTTGGCTTGAGTTATTGTTGACTTGTCGATTATGAATTGTGCCTTATATATTGATGGTGATTCTGTGTATATAATACGAGTGTTACTTATTAATTATGAATATTTTTAGTTTTGCGATATTAATCATCTTTTTAGCATTTGTTTGTCTATTGTATAAATTCTTTTACTTGCATCTATAATCTTTGGTATAGCAGCTATCCTGCTAATTGCTATAGTGTCCTTGTTGTCTGTCATTCTTTTTTGATATCTGGGATTGATAACAATGACTTAAATCTGCTTAATAGGCTACTAGGTTGAGAGGGAGTGGTAGAAATATCTGCAAAGTACCTTAGGAGGAGATAATGATCTGTAATAGAGCAGTTCATATATGTTATTTTAAGACCAATTGTGTTAACTTCAGTTTAGGTATGCGTTTAGGAACATTGTCTTATTCTTAAGGATTTTATCTTCTCACTAGGAATTATTGGAAAACACCCAAGTCTCACATAGACTAGAAGAGATAGTGTCAAAATAAATATATAAAGTGAAGGCAATCCTCACCTTACTATCCAAATTTGTAGGATTGAGTTAAACCTAAACAAATTTATGAGATGGTATCCAAGTCTATCTTAGATCCATTCACCATGTTATACATGTACCAAGCCCAATAGTGCTGAATGTGAAGGGGTGTATTGGGAAAAACCCAAGTCCATGTCGATTAGAGGTAGTGCTAAAATACAATATGTAGGAGTCTATCCTCACCTTATAAACCAGTCTTATAAGGTTGAATTTAGGTCTAAACCACTTTGTAAGAGTAACCCTTAGTTCATGAGTGTTAGTGCAGTACATAACCTCCCTTAGTCTATTAGTGTTAGTGTAGTACATAACCTAATTCTTACAATAAACTAAAGGGTGCTTCGTCTTTTATATCATATGATGATAAACCATGTCAGTTGGTGTCTTGTTAGTCTACGTCTCTTTTCTATCCTCTTCTTCTATCTTACTTAAGTCCTATAATTTAAACACTTCTATGAAAAATAAGTATTACAAAAGTTTTACATTTTATTGATAATTATGTCATATTTGTCTGAAGAAAAATTGTGTTGTGTTTTCAGTTCTGATCATGTTCTTCAAACTCCCTTTCAAGGTTGGGTGATGGCAATCGTGAGTTGTTAACATTTGTGGTGCTCTCATGTTAGGAATATAACGTAATATAAGCTGAATTTATGGCTTGAAACTGATCATGACGAACTTTCTCTGTTTTAGGTCATGGCTCTCCTGAGTGGTTTTGCAGGAGTATATACTGAGGTAATTTTAATTTGGAGCAGTTACATTAGTCCCCCAGAGGGTTTCACGAAATGACACTCCACTACAATGTAAAGCCAAAATTATACTCTGTACTGTTGACCACTATTGACTGTTAGAATATGCTGCTCAAAAATTGTTTAACATTAAAACCTTTTTGGATTAAGTTCAAATTATTTAAATCAGTGCATCTGAATTTATTAATTTTTGAGCTAAATTTGATTAGTCTTTGGGGATGTGCCACTCTGCTTAAAGTAAGATTACGAGCTCTATTATTATAGTATTGAGTAAGATTTCTTAATGAGCAATCGCGGCTAGTAATTTTTGTATGCACCTTGTCGCAGGCTATTATTAAAAAGCGTCCTTCACGGAACATAAATGTTCAGAACTTCTGGTTGTATGTCTTTGGCATGTGCTTCAATGCTGTTGCAATGTTGGTTCAAGACTTTGATGCAGTGATGAACAAGTAATTTGATATTTTCTTTCACATTTTGGTTTTGCAGTTGGTTTATTTTGATCTTTGCTCACTATTTGAGTCCTATTTCCTTCTGTTGTGATCTTGTATGAAGAAAATATTCTCATCAAATGGGTAACACATAGTATATGTATATGTATATGTTGTTTGATGATTTGATCATATAAGTCAGTACCAAGTATTGTAAAACCACCACTTTTATTGTCGATGTAGTTATAAGGCCTAATTGTCAAATTATTAATATATCCTGATGCCTTATATTGTCTTTATTCAGGGGATTCTTCCATGGATATTCATTCATTACAGTTCTCATGATTTTCAACCATGCACTCAGGTAATGAGGACATAAAATTTACTGAGGGCTGGAAGTTTTTACCTAAATACTTTTCTTGTGTAGCTAGTTGTTAGCTTAGGCGGAGCTATAAGTTTGCCTTAAGAGGGACCAGACCCAAAAACTAGTTTTTAGTTATCCACTGAAATGACTGAGGTTGCCTGAAACTATTTGGTTTGGCATTATTGGGAGTTGTGACCAAGAAGAATGGGTTGTTAATTCTGGTTAAACTGCTGATAGCAGAATAAATTTGAATGTCTGAATTTGAAGCAAACTTAGGATTGCAAGTTGTTTCTACCACTGCTACCACTACCATGGTTGGATGTCCACCATGATCTCCAATAGATCCACTGAAGTCAGAGTAATTAGGGCTTGCAAGATTAGGGTTTTGATTGAAATTATAAGAGGAATTCGGATCAAGATCAGGTTTTGATGATTGAGAATACGTATGTAAGAGATTGAAAAGGTGAGACTGAAGTATTAATAGAAATATTCTTACGATATTTCTTAAAATGCAGTTCTTGCGTGAGAATCAAACCTTCCTCTTCAATAATAATTTCTCCAATGCGACTTTCTACCAAGGAGATGACCAAATCAAATTCTTGCAGTAGACCTTCAAGATTATTTCATGTGTTATTTTTAGTGTTGTTGATTCTCCAACTGGGTGGAGATAGTCATCCAGCACTTTGATTCCGGTTAGATACTCATTTACATGACGATTATAAAGAGTAGTATTGCAAAGTTCAGATCATAACTGCCTCACTTTGGTTAGGATTTGATGATGAAAGTAAGAATGAATGTTATCTCACACTTCTAATGCATGCATGTGTATGCAACGGATCACGCCAGAGAGAATAAAACATGAAATTGTTTGATTGAAGCCATGCAAGCAACATTTGGTCCTGCTGCGCCAATGAAAGATACTCGATTCTGATGCGATTATTATCACAATCTTCTTCTGTGCAAAACGTCAAAGGTTGTTTGGAGATATAATGAAATGGTGGGAAGTTTGTGGGCTTTGATCACTGGTTGGTTTGATGCTTACAGAGTAGAAAATTTTTGTTATCTAGTTTTTTCATAATTTGGTGAGAGAATGTTTGAAGTAGAAGACAGAACAGGTGGAGTTGAGGGAGGAGTAGGAATTTTGGAAGCCATGGAAGCAGATCAATAAGCTCTAACATATTGAAGTAAAAACAGAGGGATTAAAAGAACTAGAATATTGATGTGTAAACTGAACAACCTGAGTGAGCTGCTGTTTACAGACACATACACAGAAGCTCACATAAAAACTGAAAACCGTTTTAACCACCTATAAAGACAGCTGTCATCAACTATAGTACAACTAATGACACGTGATAACAGTCAATATAAAAAATGCAATAAGAAAAGATAAAACTCTAAAGGTGGTATACACTCACATGGAGTATGATAGGCAAAAGAATGAAACAATTTTTTACTGTTGATGAACTGTGAATAAGCAAATCTCAGGAAGGATCATGTGCCAACTGCATGAAACAGGCTTTATTTCAACTTTATGTTTGGTGGTTTCTATTTTCAGCTATTGTCATTTTAAGCTATTTTCTTTTTACTCATCAAATCCTCTCTTTTTTCTGTCTCTGCCTATGTCTTTCGTTGTAAACTACACACAAAATACGAATATATCTTTTGAAGTGAATACCAGTAGAAGTTTTCATTATTCTTTGATTAAACTTTCACTTTCCTGTTAATTTAATGTGTTTTGGTTGTTTCTTTTTGCAGTGGAATTGCTGTGTCAATGGTAATGAAGTATGCTGACAACATTGTTAAAGTAAGACTAGACTTGGGTTTATGACTATGTTATATGATACTTCTACCACTTAATTGCATGAATAGGATTTTTAACTTTCACGAGTTTAACACAATAACATTTTATTATTTGTTTGTTCATAGTATAAACTTTTGTTGTTTGTGTCTGGATTTATGGTCACATATAATGGATATAAAAATGGTGAAACGACTAAAAATTGTTAGATTATAATTATATGTTCATGTGGTATCTATTGTTGGCTAGAGTGTATGATATTGTTATTTACTCCAGATCCACACTATTCTTCATATACAAAGCGATGTTCTTTAGACCATGCTACTGTTTCTAAAGTTAAATGAAAAAACATTATAAATTTTCTAGCTTGTCTAATCATCTCTGTACTGTATCTGCTCTTATTTGTGACTTTTCTAATCAGCATACATGAAAAGAGAAATAATTTCTGAATTGCATGAGGAAATGCTCTGCGTGATTGAGCATATAATGTGACTCATTAACAAACTTTTATTTCAGCAAACTAGGATTACAAGAGCATAAATCAGAAGATATACAAATCAAATCCTAATTATTAACAGCAATAGTGAGCCCCCTACAGATGAGATATTTATCCCTAAATACATATACTACTAATTAATTTTTTGTCTTCTTCATTGATATCTCACATCGATTGTAGATTTGACCAAAATAGAGATTTTAAAGATTTGCACAATCCTCACCACTTCAGCTAGCTTTTAGGGCTGAATTATGTGGATCCTGGGTACCAAAATAATGGTACAAGAACTCAACTAATATAAAAGATGAAAAATAAAGAAACAACATAGACAATAGGCAATAATGTAAATTTTCTAAAGAAAATAAAATTACATTCCCTATTCTCTAACTCCAAAGAGAAAACAATAACATCATCGCTTGGAACTAAGAAAAAATTAACTACAAGAAAAACCTCAAAAGAGAAACTAATTTCTCTCTTAATTTTCTCTCAAGCACTAAAGTAATAGAAAAGATAAAGGAAGAAAATTTGGTGTTTTATAGAAGAAACATTGTGTTTTTTTTATAACATGAAAAGTAAGCACCAAAGTAAATTCCCCCTGATGTGGGACTTCACTTTTCACATTCTCCCACTTGAAGATTTTGATGAAATTAATCAAATCTTCGCACCATACTTTATTCTTTTCCATCATGTTGCCTAGTTTTTTGACAGGCCATAATAAGATCGAACTCACGTAAATTTGTCAATACTAATTGGCTCTGTCATAATATTTGTTAGGTTTTCATTAGTGTGAATCTTTTGCATATTCACACTTCCTTCCTCTACTACTTTTTGAACAAAGTGGTAGCGTATATCTATGTGTTTTGTCCTGGACTGGAAAGCATGATTCTTTACAATGTGCAAAACATTCTGAATGTCACAATATACTACACATTTTTGTTGCTTATGCTCGAGTTTCTCCATTAACCTTTGAATCCAGATAGATTCCTTGCAAGATTTAGTACTTGCCATGTACTCATCTTCTCAGTAGATGGGGGTACAACATCATGTAACTTGGATAACCAACTTACAACCCCTCCTACAAGAGTGAACACATAGCCAGTAGTAAATATCTTTTTATCAAGATCACTTGCAAAATTTGAATTGACATAGTCTCTGACAACTAATTTGATCCTCCGATATATAATGCAACACCTAAGGTTCCTTTGATGTATCTAAGGATCCTCTTAATAGCACCTCAATGCTCTCCATCTGGATTTGTTATGAATCTACTAACCACTCCCAATGCTTGGGTAATGTCTGCCCTTGTACAAATCGTAGCATACATAAGGCTTCCTGCCGCTGATGCATATGGTACTCAAGACATTTTCATCCTCTCTTTCATTGTTAGGGCTCATACTTGAGGATAACTTACAATTGATAGGAAATGGGGTAGAAATTGACTTGCAATTTTGTATGTTGAAGTGTCGCAAGAGTTTCAATTAGGAATTCTTTTGAACAAGCCAAATCTTCCTATCTATTTTGTCTCGGTGTATTTGCATCCCTAAAATCTTGTTTGTTGGTCTCAAGCTCTTTATATCAAACTCTCTAGCCAACTGTGCCTTCAATTCTTGGATTCGAGCTTTGTTGGAACTTACCATCAACATGTCATCCCCATACGACAGTAAGATGATAAAATTATTTTCATCAAACCTATTGTAATAAGTACAATGATCTGAACTAAATCTCTTGTAACCAAGACTAATATTAAAGGAATCAAATCTCTTATACCAACATCTCAGTGCCTGATTTAATCCGTACAGAGATTTGGTTAACCTATAAACCAAGTTTTCTTGTTCTTTAAGTTCACCATGAAGAAAAATAGTTTTTACATTCAATTGCTCGAGATGTAAATCAAATACAACACATAAGGTTATAATAACTCTATTGAAGTCAATGCCTTCTTTTTTAGCACATGTCATTACTATTAATCTATCTTGTTTGCTCATTTTGCAGTTCATTTTCTGCAAAAACTATATACCTGCTAACAACAACCATGTGGGTAGTGGGATCTCTTTAGCGATGCCCTTTCACATTGTTGGCATAGCTAAAGAATATACATTTCCTAGATTTTGGATCCAACTTTGTTCTTTCTTGAGAGTTATACATCACGTACACAAGACAATAAAATATATATAAGGAAGAACAATTAGTTGGTTTGCCATTCCACATCTCCATCGGTGTCTTCAAACTTATTGCTGATGACGGTGATCAGTTTATGACATAAAAGGCGATTTTAACCGCGTTTGCTTAGAAAGAATTGACCACCCTTGTTGTACGTAACAACTCTTATTTTATCTAGGAGAGTTTTGTTCATCCACTCTGCCACACCATTCTACTGAGGTGTATGTGGAACAAAAAATTGTCTCGTAATACCTTCTTGCGTGTAGAATGCTAAAAAATTTCCATCTACATATTCTATTCAATTATCTGTCCTCAAACACTTATTTTTTTTCCCAGTTTCAAGTTCTATTCTTGCTTTGAATATTGGAAACACATCTGACTTCTTTTTGATAGGATATCCCATAATCTCTTGAAGTAATTATCAATGAATGGTACAAAATATTTTGTTCCTCCGTGGGATAATACCGGTAATTCCCATACATCAAAATGAATCAACTCTAACATGTTTTTGCTTCTAGTAGTCACTTTAGTAAATTTCAATCTATGTTGTTTGCTTATCATACAGTGTTCGCATAAAGGTAAAACAACCTCTTTGAGCCTGGGTAAGAGATTATGTTATGCAAGAATTTGCAGACCTCGCTATGATATATGACCAAGTTTGTGATGTCACATCATCAATGCTCATTCTTGACTTGTCGTTACAATTGTTGTATTTGTTTCTTGCAATGTATCTCCGAAAAGCACATACAAAGTCGCCATAATCTTCTCTACTTCCATCACTACTAGATTCCCTCTCACCACCTAAGATTCCATCTTCAGTATGGATCTTACACTTGAGGTCATCTAATTGCCTAATTTTTCTTCACGTCTCTTACATGTCGTACCTCTTGAACCTTGAGAATTGTACTATTATACATTTTCATTTTAACAGTATTGACTCCAACAATCTCTAAGGTATTATCATTTCCCATGAATACAAATTTACCTCAGACAGGTTCATAAGGGTGAAGCCAATTTCCGTGTGAAGTCATGTGTCATGTTGCACTTGAATCTACTATCCATCTATCATGTAATTACCTTTCACCATTAGAGCTAATTTCTACTTGCTCACCAGAATATTTCCGTCTTCTGAGGTATTTGCAACACAACCTTGCGAGGTTGATGCTTCAGAGTTCTTTCTCTAGTCTTCCTGTGTCAACAATCTTTCTTTACATGTCCTCCCTTGTAACAATTATAGCATTTGAAATGCTTCTTACTTTGAGACTTTGATCTATCATGAGTTTGACTTTCACTAGATCCACATTATGTTGATCTATCTCTCGTCATCGTTAAGGCCTCTGTTTGCTTTGAACTTTCCATCCTTTCTACCTTACTTTTTTGCCTGGATACTTTTTGAAGAATAACACTAGCAACATCCTCAAAATGTAGGTGTCCATCAATATTGTTATTTGTTATATTGATGATGAGTTGATCATATAAATTAGGTAAAAGGTAAAGTGTGAAGTAGAAGCTTTGCACATTCATTTTCAACTATGTTGAATTTTGCTACTGAAACAACGTAGTCATATTGTTAATATGATCTGTCATTGATATAGACTTACTCATTCAAAGAATATAAAGTGTTTTTTTCAAAAATTTTCTTGTGTGAAGTGACTTCACCTTGTTAAATTTGATGAGAGTGTCCCAAATGTCCTTCGCTATAGCCTTCTCCGTAACGCTAGATAAAACCACATTTGTCATTGCTAAGTGCAAATTTATGATAGCATTATCATTCATTTCTTTCCATTTTTGTTTTGTGATATCCACTGGTCTTTCTCCAATTGCATATACACAATTGTCCTTTCTCAGAATTGTCTTCATCTTTAGTTTTTATAATGAGAAATTAGTCACATTGAACTTCTCTATCTCATATTTTGTTGTTGTCATATATATTTAAAACTGACTTGTGCACTTCTCACTATGAATAATACTGTCTACTAGAATAATGAATTGTAGACTGTGATTAAATACATAAGGTAAATCTTTTTGAACCAAAACTTTTCTAAACATGCACTTTCGCACTACCACACTCTATATCCTGTAACAAGAATTGCGAAAGATATAGCTTCAATCACAAAGTATACTCATATTTTTCTACAACTGTTATGAATCTTCGTATGCCCTTACTTTAGAATGAAAAAGAATTCACAAAGAACACAACAAACACACTCAACACACACTCAACAGAATGAAAGAATCCACTGGTATTGAAATCTCTCAAACGATTACAAGAAAAATGTTCTTCTTTCACAACTGAACTATCAGTTTTTACAAAATCTTCTCTTCCCCTCTTCCATGAGGAAGAAGCTATTTATTCTTCTGACCCCAAATAACT